ATCATTATACAAGGTCAGTACGTGTAAGAAAGGTTGTTCCAGGCGAACTGATAAGAGATGATCACTCCATTCTAAGAAGTCATGTGCTGAGTTCTCAAGACAGGTAGGAATTAAGCAGGTTAATTGAGGAAGAAGCTTTTTAAGGGGAAGTATAGAAAGACATACTGGAAGATTAATATAGCATTAGATGGAAGCATGTGAAATTGCCACTTTGTGAGAAATGGCCAAATATTTGCAGTTTTGTATAGTTCAATGTGATGTGTTAAGGTAACTTAAGCACAGAATATTTGTGTTTAGTGACAGGAGATAAGCCTGAAAAACAAGGCTAGAACCAGGTCATGAAGTTCTTGAGTACTACATTGTGGAGTTTGGACATTGTTCTGAAAGTGATTATATGTTTATTTTAAAATATTTAATTTAAAGTATTTAATTTTTTAATATCCAATGCATTCTCACTATTGGCAGAAGTGAGAATAGATGTAGTTTTTTTTGTTCAAAAATTTATTTTTAGAGGCACAAAAACAAAATTAGGAAAATGAGTTCAAGGGAGAACGTGGGTTATCTTGAGAGTGAGAAACCGTTTTTTATTTTTACTTTTTCAGCTTTTTCGTGTTGGTATTTTACTTGAAGCAAAAATAATGTGGATACTTTCTTTTATTAATGCCCTAGAATAGCCAAAACATTGAAATTATCTCTTCTCTGGAGATTTTGTAGAATTCCACTATAAATCTTTTGGACTTGGTGCTTTTTCTTAAGGGATAAGGTGGATAGGAGGTAGGTACCTGAAACTTTGCAAATTTCTCAAATTTTCAAGCTTGTTTAGTTTTTTCCTTTTTCTAAAAAATTACTAATTTAATTCAAGGTTTCAAATCTATAGAAATTTGAGATAAGAATTCTCATTTAAAAATGAGTGAATTTCATCTATTTTGTACTTATTTATTTTTATCTTGCATTTTTGTACTCCTTTTAGAATTAGATTATCTGATGCTTTAGTTTTCAAAGAACCAACCCTTGGGTTTTTATCCATTAGTGTTTATTATGCCTTTTCTACTTTCTGCTTTCCCTTGTTCCTTTATAGTTTTTTTGTTGGATGTTTAAATTATTAACCTTTTCCCCTGTTTATTGAAATTTAAAATTAGGTTCTAAGCATTGTTTTAGTTGAATTGACAGGTTACATGTTTTATATACATATATGTGGTCAATGTGTATGGGTGTATATTTGTATATGTATGAGTGTGCATATATATGTACCTGTATATTTGTAATGCATGCCATATTTGGTATGATTGCTGTAATGAATAGGAGAGAGGAATAATGAGGAAACTACTTAGAAAGTAGATAAGAATATTATACTAGATCATGTGAGAAATTTTGGTGACCTCAGTTCCAATAGAGTTGGAAAGAGTGTAGAGAACAAGTGGAAATGAAGGTGTGAGAAAGGAAAGATATCTCAGAATAATTCCTAAGTTTGTTGTTTGGGTAGCTAGTATATATGAAATATCTTCACTGAATTAGGACCCATGTTCAGTATAGGAAAACGGAAGAGTAGGTTTAGGGTGGAAAGGTACATTCAGATGTGGATATCAGGTTTATAATATTTACAGTATTTTCATTAAACCCTGTTTAAAAAACAGATATTCAAGTCAACAACTCATGAAAGCTGGAGATTTGGAGATTCATTAGAGATTTTGACTGAGGTGGGCTAGAGTGGTATCTCTAGGACCTGAGGATAGTAGGTCTAAGATCTGTCCCTTAGGTCCTAAAGTTCTATGAGAATTTTCTAATTTTGTGTTTGCATTTTGGCACATTTGGCACATTCTTGATTATCTTAGTGTCTACCATACTCACAGATCTCAGTGCTGGTATTTATGTCTGAATGGTTAAGTGATTGTCTACAGACCACATATATGGTAATAAACAAATTTGCAGTAGTAGAATTTGTATTAGGTTGATGTATGCTAATGCAAAGTTGAGAAAAATCTTTCTTCAGCTTTTGACCTCATATTGAATAATTTTGCCATTAAAACTTTCTTTTATGGGGATGWTTATAAATGAGAGATTTTTTTAGAGAATTTCTGAAAAACCGAGATCTTAAAATGGAACTTTGTTTTATAATCATGAAAATAACATAGAGCAACAGAATAATGTTTTGTTTTAATCATCACAGGCTGATCAAAGAACATAGGATTACATTAATTATGTGCTTAGGCCAAGGGAATGCCTAATAAGATGTGCACTCAGAACAAAGTATTTCATGGAAACTTGAAGCAGAAAAAGCACCAGGAGATCATGTGGCCCATTGGGGTGTATGTGTGTGTTTGTGTGTGTGTGAGAGAGAGAGAGAGAGAGAGAGAGAGAGAGAGAGAGAGAGAGAGAGGAGGTAGGTAGGTGTATGTATGTATATGTGTAAATGTACCTAATTATTACATGGATTCTTATTTAGCTGTATAAATACCAATTAGTAATGTTTATTAGCAATGCTATGACATTTTTATTGACTTTTATTTTTTAGAATTTTGTTTTGATGTATACGTTTTATGAAGTAATTACAGGTATCAAAGTACAGTCACCTTTTCATACAGTTGATTTACAGAACTTATTTATTGTTCTTGACTGAAACTTTCTGTCCTTTGACCAACAATTGCCCCCTATCTCCGCCCCCTTCCAGCCTGGAGTAGAGCTTCTGGCAATCACATTTTACTTTTTTCTTGTATGATCTCAACTTTTTTTAGATTACACGTTATAAATGGGATAATGAAGTATTTTCTTTGTGTGTATGTGTGCCTGGTTTCTTTCATTTGGCATAATGTCCTCCAGATTTAACCATGCTGTTGTAAATGACAGGATTTCCTTCTTTTTTAAAGACTGAATAATGTCCCATTATATATTACATTACATTTTCTTTTTCTACTCATCTTTTGATGGACTTTGATGAGCACTTAGGATGATTTAATATTTTGTCTATTATGAATAATAATGCAATGAACATGAGAGTAGAGATTTCTCTTCAAGATACTGATTTCATTTTCTTTGGATGTATACCCAGAAATAGAATTGCTGTATCATGGAGTTCTATTTTAAAATCCTTGAGAAATTGCTGTTGTTTTCTATAATGGCCATGATAATTTATATTCCCACCAACAGTGTACAAGAATTCCCTTTTTTCCACATCCTTATCAACACTTGTTTTTTTCTGCCTTTTTTATAATAGTCATCTTAACAGTTGTGAGGTGATACTGCAGTTTTAATTTGCATTTCTCTGCCGATTAGAGATGTTGAACATTTTTTCATGTTTGTTGATCATTTGAGAAATGATAATTCAGGTCCTTTGCTTATTTTTTAATTGGGTTATTTGTTTTCATTCTATTGTCATTTGAGTTACTGTGTATTTTGGATTATCAGATGTATGCAAATATTTTCATCTAAAGCCTGTCTCTTCATTCTGTTGATTATTATATTTGTTGTGCTAAAAGGCATTTTCTGAAATAGTTTTATAATTTGTAACAGTTTTAAACAGATAAACAATCCTGTAGTACAATTGATATTAGAAATAATAAACCTAAGCACTTTTAAAAATAACATCTATTGAATTGTAATTAAGTTTGGCTTTCTAGCTTTATTGGGTGAACTGGTATTTTATTACTGAAAATGCTCATTATGCAGATTTTTGTAGCTCAACAAAGTGTTGAACATAGAGGGTTGACTCCTGTAGTTGACATGGAGATGTATTGCTCAGATTCCTCTTTAAAGTAGGGATTACTACCTAGCAGAGAAATGCAGAATCCAGGCAGCCTCCTCTCCCATGCTTTAAGGTCCACCTCAGCTGCAGAGTCATGACCTCTTTGTGGCAGCACACATTTATATATTAAGCAGGCAGAGAAATCACAGAGTGCTCTGATGGACAGTAATTGCTTTAGAACTTTCATCTAGTTGGGTTAAAATTTTGTTGGTCCTGTATCACAATTCTTTCTGAACTTGCTTTCTCTGTCTTAAAATTTACAGATGTTAATCTCAAACATTTTGTATCCCAAATACCCTATTATCTCAGCTTCAGAGAAACCAATCCTCAGTAGCTCCTGATCTCATGGAACTAGTTTTCTAGAAAGAAATATACATAAAACAAGAAATTAAAAATATAATCACTATTATATAGAAGCACAGGTACTCTGGGAGTATGTAATAAAAGGACCTAAGTTGGTTAACTATATTGTTGTTTAGGGAGGTAGCATGGTTTAGTAGCCAAATCATAAATTTTGGGCTTTTACTCTTTCCAGGCCAGTTTTCTCATTTCTAATATGTGAATGACACATGTTCTCTCATTTTTAAGAGAGATACTGGCACAGGATTTCCTATGTGATTGGGGGAAGTTTCCCAGCAGCTAGAGAAACATTTCAGTGTTTCACTGTATAAATAGTATTTCAGTGTACAAACATTTCAAGCTTTTTTTAGTGTAAGTTTATTGAAGTCCCAGTTGTGAAAGCAGTTTATAGGGCGAAACTTCGATTCACAAATGAAAAAATATATTGCCATCTTTACATAGAAGGGTTTGTAAAATAAGTGTATATATTTATATAATATATATGTAAAAATTGCCGAACAAAATATTTGTCACATAGTTGTAGTTAACACTTACTATCACTTCCCGGAAATAATCCTTAGTACAGTTTGAGCATCTCTAATCTAAAAATCTGAAATCTGAAACTTTTTGAGCATTCCATGTTTTTAGATTAGGGATATTCAGCTGATAATAAATATGCATATATTCCAAAATCAGAAAAACTCTGAAATCCAAAACAAGTTCCAAGCATTTCAGATAAGGGTTACTGAGACTGTAAAGAAACAACTAAACTATTACTTTTAAATATGTTCTCTCAGGAGGATATGAAAAGAAACCTATTTGGAGAATATGGTATATTCTTTTTGACATCTTAGGATCATTTTAATGATGATCGTATTTTGCAAATAAAGTAAAGCTCTCTCTCTCTTTTTTCCTCCTGCAGTAAGAAAAGTGGAAAACCACCATTACAGAACAATGAGGTAAATTTTTATATCCTCTACATTTTGGTATTTTATATACTTAGTTTATTTTTTGTTACACAATTCTGAATTAGGATAAAATCATAGAATTTTTAGAATTAGAAGGAAACTTAAAATATCACTTTGTTGTTGTTGTTGTTGTTCTGAGGATTAAATCCAGGGTGCTTTGCCACTGAGCCATACCCCCAGTCCTCTCTGTTTTTTAATTTGAGGCATGGTCTGTAGCTAAGTTGTTGTAAGACTCTAAATTAACATTCTCTTGCCTCAGCCTCCTGAGTCCCTGGGATTACAGGTTATGTGCCATGCTTTGTAAAAATATCACTTCTAATCTGGTATGTATTATAGAATTTTTTTCTGAAATAGAATCTTGACTAGTGTCTCATAGTGTTTGTTTGAATTTGTGCATTCTGTGGAGGGCATTATTCCAATGAGGCAGTTACAACTGTTAGTTCTAGTCCATGCTGAGGTTAATTTACCCCTGCTTGCTTCCTAACTCTGTTATGTCATTTGTAGCTGTACAGGACAAATCTACTCTCTTTTCTGTGATAGACACATATATTTAAAGATAGTTGTGAATGCCAAGTCTTTTTTCCCTTATGCTAAGCAATCTTCATTTCTTCAAATATTTCTCATGTGACATGGCTTTTTGATCCTTTTTCAATTCTGTACACATTCCTTTGGGCTTAAGCTAGTTTTCTTGAACATTGCACTAAGAATATAATGTAGTTGAAATAACTTGACTGGCATTGAATATGTCAATACTATTACAATTCTTGATATGGATACCATAGTGCTAAAATTCAGTCTAAGATTGTGATTATTTATTTAGTCATAACTTTTGTTTACATTAAGTGAAGTTTATGGTAAATTATAACCTATAGTTATCTTTCTGATGAATAGTTCTGTTGGCAGATACCTTATATTCTATATTCATCAGTTGATTTCTTTCTTTTTGTAATAACAACTTTACTGATACAGTTCATATATACTATAATATTCGTTCATTTAAGTATGTAAATCAGTAGCTATTAGTATATTCAGAGTTGAAAAGCCATCTCTGCTATCTAATTTTATAAAATTTTATTAACTCCCCAATAAAATTCTATACCAAGTATTAGTTACTGCCTCAGCATTCTCTTCCCCCAGCCCCTGGCAGCCACTAATCTAATCTTTTTTCTGTCTCTATTGATCTGCTTTTTTCTGGACATTTCATAGAACTAGAATCATGTAATATATGTGGTCCTTTATGTCTGTCTTCTTTCACTTTGCATGATATTTTCAGGGTTTATTCATGCTGTTTTTGAATCAATATTCTATTTCTTTCTTTTTTTTGCTGAATAGTATTCCATTGTATAGGTATAACACATTTTATTATCCATTCATCAGTTGAGGGACATTTAGGTGGTTCCATTTTTTGGCTTTTAAGAATGGTGATACTATGAACATTTGTGTACCGGTTTTTAGGTGGATGTTTGTTTTCATTTCTCTTGGGGATATACCTTGGAGTGGAGTTGCTGGATCACAGGGTACTTTAGTTGGTTTCTTTTAAATAAATATTAATTTATACCTGTAAATGTCAGCTTAATGAATTTCACCATCAGTACTATTAGTGTACAATTCTTATATCTAGTGTATTAAGTACAAGTTATTATCTATACATTTAATTTACCTTCTYTTTCTTCCTCATAATTGCTAATAGTATTGACTAGGAAAGGACCAAGGATATTACTCTGTGACATTTCTTAATCTTTATGGGTTTTTATTTTTGGTTATAATTTATTTAGCTGTGACTATATCTAATTATAGAAAAATTTAGTTCTTATTTGTCCATTGAGGCCACCAGAATTTTAGAGAAATATCACAATCCTTGGTTAATTTATTACATCATTTATTAAGCCAATCTTTCAACAAATATTGATTGAGTCTCTCACATATGCCTGGCATTGTTCTTGGCTCCAGATATATGGCAGTTATAAAAAATTAGTCCACACTGTCATACATTCTACATGTCAGCTAATATACTAATACAGTATATTAACAAAGGAGAAAATTAGAATAGTTTAACATGACTTCTTTTTAGTAAACTTGCTCTACTCCTAATTATTAGCATTTCTTAAGTGTTCCTAAACCCTATGTATTATTGTAGTTTCTGAATATCCTGAAGATTAACGACAAAATTTTTGTTATAATTCATCTTTCTTCTTATTTGAAAAATGGAATAAAATGTGCATAAGTCCAGTTTTCTGGTATATCTCTATGATTATTATCTCTTGTATGTTATATCTGAATAATCAAAACTTAGTTATCTTAGTGATACCTATTACCTGCATGTCATATCAGCAATTTGTAGGATAGCAAGATTCATTTGACTTATTTTAGTATTTCTCCCTATTTTTCAATTTTGTACAATTTTGTTTTAACATATACTTACTTATAGGTTGTATAGTGTGAACAAGATAAATTTAGATTAATCTAACTGATTAGTAATAAAAAATATACAAGATGTATACTGATTCCACCATTGTAAAATTGATAGGATGTGTATGTACACACAGTCTCAGTAAAATGAAATCTGCAAGGCTATATACCAATATTAACAGTTGATATCTCTTATTTCTTATTTTTGGTTTCTTATTTTTGCTTATCAGAATATAATTTTTCTTCAGTGGATGTATTCTTATGAGATTCTTATGAGAGAAAGCAATTAAAAGGAGTTTTTTTTTAATTGAAATATTTTATAATCATAATCTTTGAGATGGGGGTAGAGTGAAAGAATTTTCACAAGGCATGAGATTTAAGGATGGGTAAAGGATTTAAAGTTAGCAAATAGTACAGAAAGTAGTTTGATTTTAAAGTGTACATTTAATTTTGATGTGTGTGTTATAAAGTTTAAAATAATGCTAGGTGCAGTGAAGCACACCTCTAATTCTGGCTACTTGGAATGCTGAGGAAGGAGGATCACAAATGAGACCCTGTCTCAAATTAAAAAACAAAAAGGCCTGAGATGTGCCTCAGAGCTGGAGTGACACCCCCAGGTTGAATCCCTAGTACTGTAAAAACAAAATTCAAAATGTATAAAGCTATACAATGTGCTAGATGTCATATTTAGCATTCCTGGGTATATTTTTATATTTTTAGGTTGTGTGGATAGGTTTAAATATGTGTATATCCATCAACTGTACAAGTAGTTTACGTATTTAGAAACTTCATAAATTCACCTGTAAAATAAAATATAGATATCATTCTGATTTTTTCCCCCACCCTAGAGCCATCTCTGTTGATATATCTCTAGCTCTGCAGCTATAGCTGGAAATGTTAATTTAACTACTCTGTAGTATTCTGTTGAGTGAATGTGAACTGTTTCCTTCCCTATTATAGTATATAGTTTTCATTTAATAAATTTACCATAATTTATATAATATTGATGTTTATTTAGATTGTATTTATTTAATAGTATTATAAACAGTGCAGACTTTTTTCATTTGTGTGACTAAATGTTTATGCAGGAATATCTGTAGGATAAGTTACTATAAATAAATTTGCTAAATTATTTTACATTTTATAGTTAGTGTGCATTTTACATTTTGATTAGATTAAACATAATAGTTGTACCAATTTACACTTTCTCCAGCAACGTACAGTAGTACTTATACTCTAGCCAGCATCATATGGTCTTTTATTTCATTTGCTATTTTAAACATCTGTCTTTTTCAGTTAATTTTAGTTCATCTCACTTTTATAAGTTGATTGACATTTCAGTAGGAACATCTCATTGCCATTTGATTTTTCTCCAGAATGTTACTTTTCTTTTCTTGAGTGTATTATTACTTTAACTTCTTATTATTTGTATCTAATGGTTTGTTTGCCTTTTCTATATAAATACATATATTTTAAGTACTGGGAAGTGGGGTAGGGGTATATCATAGTTGAAGAGCACTTGCTTAGCATGTAGGAGACCCTGGGTTCAGTCTCCAGCACTAGAGAGGAAAAAAAGTCTAAATATTGGGAAATTTAGAGGTTGGCAAAGTCAAGTTTGAATTTAAAATTAATTCTTAGGAAAGGCTAGTAGTATTAGGAAACATGCTGTCTCTGTAGGTACTGTATTCTTATTTATATTGGTTTCAAGTATGAATTTTACTGTGTAAATGTAGAGCATCTTGCTGTTCTGTTCTTTTCTCTAATTCTGTCTTTTTTGAGCCAACCCTCCAGTCCAGGTGTTTCTTTGTAGAAAACTCTCTGATGACTTTTGGAAGAATGTAGTTTCCTTCATGGTCTCAAAGGTAATGAAAATCCAGTCAGCTTTCAAGTAACTTAAGAATAGAAACCAGTGAGTGACTGGAGGAACAGAAGAAAAGGAGGAGGAGGAACTAGAGACCACTTACCTGCTAATATTTTAAAATGCTAGTGTTACTCTCATAACATTTTTTWAAAATGTTAAAAAACATTCTTCATTGTGTCAAATTATTTCATGGACATTTCATTTCAGAATTATAAGCTAGGAATGGATGGAGGGTACTGAGATTATAGTCTGTTAATAGTATATATTGACTATAGATAAAGTGAGGTGAAGGGGTGGTGGTGACAGAAGGAAAACTTTGACAGTAAAAGTCTAATTTTTTTTTTTTTAAAGTAGTGGGTTGTATATTGCCTACTGTTTATTTTTTTCTTCCTGTATTTTCTTAATTTGGGAAATAAGAGATTTAGGTTGAAGTAGTAAGGTTTGGTTTGAGGATAATAGGCTAACTCAACTAGATTTTTTTTTTTTTTTTTAGTGGTACTCAGGATTGATCTTAGGGGCACCTGGCCACTGAGTCACATCCCCACCCCTGTTTTGTATTTTATTTACAGAAAGGGTGTCTCACTGAGTTGCTTAGCACCTCGCTTTTTGTTGAGGCTGGCTTTGAACTTGCGATACTCCTGCCTCAGCTTCCCGAGCCACTGAGATACTGGTGTGTGCCGCTGTGGCTGGCTTCAACTAGATTTTGAGTAGGATTTTAGCCTCTTTTGTTTACTGCTGTGTCCTGATCATTTGGTATACTGCCTTGGATCAAGTAAATATTTGTTGAATGAATAAATGAATGAAAGAATGTATGTGTGAATACAGTAGACTGTCAGTGTAATTCAGTAGGAGATGGTTTATATCTCTGAAAGACTTGAAACACTGAATCTCCGTACAGCAGTGATAGGGTGGACTGATTTTTTTCTCGTTCTCCCCAGCACCCCCTTTTTATTACTGGGATTGAACCCTGGGTTGCTTTACAACTAAACTACATTTCCAGACTTTTTTGTTTTTTAATTTGGCACAGGTTCTTGCTAAGTTGCCCAGGCTGACCTCAGATCTGCAATTCATGGACCACTGCACCCAGCTAGTTCTTTCTGTCTATCCTTTTCTTCAAGCTTCTTTGTCTACAATTCTGAACTACTTGGTGCCTGTTTATTAGGCTTATATAAATCACTTTGCTCAGTGAAATACAGTACTAAAACTATTCACTTTAAGTTCAAGTTAGATATTAATTAAAGCATAATTACTCTGAAGTTTGTGTAATAGTAGTCTAACTAATAGTAACTATGGGTATTTGTTTGTCAAGAGGATAGTACTGCTGGGCACAATGAGGCATACCTGTAATCCCAGTTACTAGGGAGGTTGAGGCAAGAAGATCACAAGTTCAAGGCTAGCCTGGGTAATTTAGTGGGATCCTATCTCTCTCAAAAAAAAAAAAAAAAAAATTAAAAAGGACTGGGGATGTAGCTTCCGTAATTTGTGTAAGGCCCTGGGTTTAATCCCTAGTTAGTTAATCAAACAAGTTAGTGAACTTTGATTTTTGAGAGTCAGAAAAGGGCTAGGTAGGGATTGGGGTTCTGGAGTGTCTTGCCTTTTCTAAAAAGTTTCTCCCGCTGTTTCCCCAGATGGTCTAAGGGTATTAAAGTAAATATCCTCTACCATAGGCTATTGATGTCACTGTCAATAAGGTAAATATTCTCTACCATAGACAATTCATATATCCAGTGAAAATAAAGAAATCTCAGAGGTAGAGAACATCATTTTATCTTTAATATCTCTACAACAATAGTCAATTCTCAGTCCTTTCTGTGACCTCAAGGCTCTGCCCTGTCTACCTTTTGACCTTCTGTCATTCTTGTTCCTTTTGCTCTAGCATCTTGCTGTTAAAATGCACAACAGTTTTATTCCCAACACTGGGTTTTTGTGCTGCTCTTCCTTGTGCTTCACCCCCCACCCCCGTCCTCCTTTCCCAAATAATCATGTGGCTTCATTTTATTTATGTCTCAGCGTAAATGACAAGAGATCTTTCTGGCCATCCTGTCTGAACCATTCTTATTTTTCTTAAGGCCTTGTCTAGTCAATTTGTAATAATTTTTTTTATTGGTTTCCTTTTTWAAAAAAATCTGTTTTCCCTGATAGACTGTACTGCGTGAATAAAGGAACCTTTTCTGTCTTTGAATTTATAAGGAGGAGAGAGTGAATTAGCAAATTGCTTATTGGAAATCTAGGAATCCAAAAATTTTCTGATTTTTATCACAGAAAATCCTGTTGTAATTTTCTTTTTTGTAGTCTTCTGTTAATCAAGAAGTAGGTAATAAAAGAAACATTAGTAAGTACTTGAAGATTTCTTAACTCTTCTGTGATCTCATCTACTACTATGCCTTTCTCAAAACTCCATCCAGACTGGTCATTTTGTAATTCCTCAAGCACATTAAACATGCTTTCACCTTGTTATTTTGCAGTTGTTGTTTCTTCTGCTTGCTTCTAGATATTCAGATGGCTCCACAACTCCCTTCCCTATTCAGTTTCTAGGGAACATCTTATTTTCTGGGAATCGTGTTTATGAAGAACTGTGCAGTAATCATCTTGATAGTTGTCTGTGTTGACTTAGATGAAATATTTAATCTTTTTTGTTTTAACTGTCTTAAAAATGTTTTGTTTTGTTTTTTAAATGTAGAAAGAAGGGAAAAAAGAGCGAGCTGTGGTGGACAGGGTGTTTTTATCAAGGCTCACACAGATCCTGAAAATCATGGTCCCTAGGACATTTTGTAAAGAGGTAAGTCTTATGAAATTGTAATGTTAAATGTTAAAGTTTAAAGGTTTTGAGATTAGAACAATAAATTATAACTCTTAGGTAGTACTAACGGTCAAATGTTTTCTGTGTAATAAAGAAGACTACTAACTTTTTTGTCTCTAAATTAGTCCGTCATGCAAGTATGCTTGCTCAGTGCCAGCTTTTACATAGTATTCTGTTTATGAGATATTATTTCATTCTGTTTTATGTAAAATACTAGAGTATTGCATTATAGCTACCTTCCATGGTGTTGCTTCAGTGTTAAGTACTGTTATTAAAACCAAGATTAAATTTAAAAGGACAAAGCATTTTTATAACATTGAGATGATTATAAGTCATATTGGTATAGAATATTTTTGAGGGTTGCTTCTTCATATTTAATTAAATATATTTCTAGGATACCTCAAATGGTATCTAAATTCTTTAAATATTTTCAGGAAGTGAGCTGGTTGTAGGAATAAAATTTTATTATCCTTTCTTTTATCTTTTTATCAAGATTATTTTTATCATTATTTGATAGACATTCTTAATGATTATTAAAATAATGCAGCATTCTTTTTCATTCTTCAGCACTCTTCCATTGTGTAATTAGAAATATCATTGCCTTTGTCTCCTCTTCCTCCCCATGCCACATCTTTTTAGTCACTGGTATCTGCTTATTTTTCCTCCTGTTCTTAACTGGATATTAGTGTTTTTTAATTAGTCACACTTCTAGAATTTTCTCTTTTAAAATGTTTTCTGTCATTTTATCATTTTAAAATATTTCCCATTGTATTTTAAAAAGCATTAGCCTTATAATGTATTAATAGCAAGATAAAGGTAAGATATTCCCAAAGCACTAGTTCCCCAAGAGCTCACCATTCTTCCATCACATGGGACTCATTTTCTTTTGCTTGACTTTGTGTCCTTGAGAAACTAGGAAATAATGAGAAATAATGTAATAACATTTTTTTCCCTAAGTAGACAGGTAATACTTACTTCTTAAATAAAAAATTGGAAAATGCAGATACATTTTCTTCTCAGCCCTATCATCTTCTCATTCATTTTTTTTTTCTACCGATGCTTCTTAATTTACAATGAGATTATATCTATTGTAAATTTAAAATGTCATAGATAAAAATGCACTTTTTTTTGGTACTAGGGATTGAACCTAGGGGCAATTTACCACTGAGCTACATTCTCAGTGGTAAATTATATATATATWTTTTTTTTAATTATTTTTTTTTATTGGTTGTTCACAACATTACAAAGCTCATGACATATCATATTTCATACATTAGATTGAAGTGGGTTATGAACTCCCAATTTTACCCCAAATGCAGATTGCATTCATTTTAATGTATAGTCTTCTTGTGTACGAACATGTATTTTGATAAAAATGAGATCACACACCTTTAAAATCTACTCCTTTCTTTATATTATAAATGTTCTATTCAAGTACCCTAGAGTTTCTCATAACTTAGTTTTCCCCTTTATATTCCTGCTCTTTTCACTATGTCTTACCTGCATTATTACTTGTTTATTGCTTCTTTCCTTGTCCAGTCTTCTTTCTAAAACACATAAAAACATTTGGCTTCTTTTCTCTTATAGTCACAATCTGACTTTAGCCTTCCTTTCAATATCATCTGCTTAGAAGATTATTTAGTCTTACAATCAGATTCTTGTGATTTCACTTGTTCTCAATGTCTTCTAACATCCTGCCCTACCACTCCCCAAGCCAGATATGTTAAAAAAAATAAAAATAAAACAACACTTGTTACCTGCTTTGTGAAGATTTCTTATAACTCTTTAGGCACAATGTATTGTTTTCTGTGTTCTACACCTAACTGGCTTTGAAGAATCTCTATTAGAAATGCAAGTTTCTCTGGAAAGATTGGCATCTTACTCACTAGAAACTTAGCAGCTCAGTGCTTACTTTGCTGATTGCAGGTGTGCTGCATGTACGGTGAGTTCATCAGGGCACTGTGGATAATCCCCCAGGAGTCAATGAGGAGGTAGAAAGGTCTTATTTGACTAGTTTCCCAGTTGTGTTTAGATCTAGCTATGTCACAGAGTCATTTTATATACTGTCTTTGAGGGATGTAAAAATTTAGGTTTAACCCCAGTTCAAGGAAGCAGAATAAACTCCCTTAGAAGTATAGAAAATGGAAGAGAGAGAGAGAGAAATGAAAATGCAGCACATATGAATGTGTGGAAGTTGGTACGAAAGTTGAGAGATGGATTGCCTAAACCAGTGCAGATCTTTAGTTTCTATTGCATGCATACATTAGTAATAGGGAATAGTGGTAATTTTAAGGATATCCKTTGTATGAAGGCATTTCACAATTGTCTAGTTCACCAGATTTTGTGATAGTAATACAAGTAAACTTGATACTCATGTAAAGAAAAAAAATGAGCCAAGAATATAAAGTGAAGGAAAACATTAATGGTCTGATGTTTTCTTTGTACCTTAATGATTACTTTAGATTTGAGACTGTATTTAAAGTTGGTATTATCATAAGTTAAATTGACATCTACAGTTAGCATTTATTAAATGAACATGTATACATGTAACATTTAATAAATGCTAACTGTAGATGTCAATTCTTTAGGTTCTTCTGTTGTCATTTAAATACTTGGGGATGTTGGGATAGGGTAGGAAGGTGATATCTTTCTAGCTAACTCTGGCAAACATTGGGGTAGCAGCTGCCACAGCTCATTTACATAATTTCTTTGATGTAATAACTTCTGTGCTATGACCCTCTGCCTTGTCTTTCACTTTCAAGGGCCATATTTCCAATATATTCACCTTTTGAAAAACAGTGTGTGTTTCACAAAAAGTATATAAGTAATAGATGGAGTTGTCCTTCACTTCAATAACTTTGAACAAAGTATCCAACAACCTCCTTCCTCCAATTCCCTAGGTCCTTTCCCCAACTTTAGCTTGTTATGTTACTTTCATATTCTTCCAATTTAGGAGTTTTCAAAGATCAGCTTTGAATTTGTTTATTGATGGGGGAGGAGGGAGTGGTGTCAGGATTCTCATCTCTTCCTGCTTCATGATCTATCTTGCACAGCATTGCTTAAGTAACATTCTCAGAATATCTCTTTTTAACATTTTGTTCTACTTAGTAGCAGYTTACAGTGATTTCATATTGACTTTAAATTTGGCTCTATATGCAACACCATACTTCATATGGTTTTAATTTTTTCCCACCATTAAATTCTTCACCTGTTCTTTTTACCTGTAATATCAGTTGTCATCTTTGTTTTACTTAATTTATTTAATGTATTTCTATGCCATAACTGTCTTTGCTACTCCACACCTTTCCATCCTATCACTTTTTATATGAAGTTTCACAAGTGTACTTGCTTGAATTTGTTTTCTTGTTATTTTTTTTTATGTGTAAATCTTGCCATAATAACTCAGGGATCCATTTTTGAATTCCAGATGAGAGAGATTAAATGATCTATAAGGCCTTTTCCATTTATTTTATAACTTTAAGTTTCCTTTTAGGCTATSTTTAAAAATTGCCGATAGCTAAAATGTAGTTCAACTGTATTAAGGTACAAGAAAGCTTTAAATTTTGAAACCAAAAATCTTTACCAGGTACTTGTCCTTTTAACTTTTACAAATGCATTTAATTTGTAATACTTGGATTTATTTTAGACAGGATACTTGATACTTATTGCTGTTATGCTGGTGTCTCGAACATATTGTGATGTTTGGATGATTCAAAATGGGACACTCATTGAAAGGTACTTGTCCATTCACCTTCCTTGTGTAAATACATATATATATGTGAAATACTAATTGTCTCATATTTAAACTTTGTCTTATAAAACAAAAAATATTTATAGACAAAAATAAAAATATTTATTAACAAAAATTCTAAATCAGGCAAAGGATACTTAAGTCAAATTTGTTTATTTAAAATTTTTTGTTTCCCACATTCCAGGCACTGTGCTACTTGTTAATAGGGATATACATACTCCAACAAAGAGGAGAAATTCTGTACCAAGGCTTGCTGAGCTGACATTTTATAGGGAATTAGAGACAACTAATCTCAAAATTAAAGTACAGTACAAGTGCAATCATAGGAATTTAAAAGAGCCACCAAGTGGGATATCTGATATGAATAATATGATTTTTTTGAAAAATCAAAGCATTTCAGTGAATTACATTGAACATGTTGATTAGAAGGAAATAATACTTAGACCTTTTTTCTGCTTTTGAATTTAGTATTTTAAAAAAATTTTTTCATCATATTCTTTCTATATGTTATTAATCACAAGAATTGATAATTTTGTTTTAACAACTTCAGAAATGCTAGATTGGATATGGTTGTTATAACCATTCACCATTTGTCTTTTAATGAGGAATGTATTATGATACCAAATGAATGTCAAAAGTTTTTTTTCTTGTCAGAAAATTTTTTAAAATACTTAATATAAGCTAACTTTTTGAATGAGACACCTAAATTTTGACTTATTTTTCTAGGAGAATAAAGAAGTTTAGCTACAGAGGATTAAAGCCCTTAAATTAAGCACATACCTCTGAATATAGGTAAATTATGTAGGTTTTTAAATTTAACATAAGCCTCCCTAAAACTATTAGTAAGTCCTATTCTTTTCTATTTTAATCATAGTGAAATATGAACATAGCTCAATGTTAAATGTCTCAGGTGCTTCTAATTGCAGCAAAGGTTAAAGGTTACTTTATTATAAAACAATCCTGTGGCTTAGGTTTCCAACTGCCATTACTCAGAGCCAGTTGTTTTCCATTCTTTTTACTGTTTCATTTTATTTCTGTGTTTTGGCATAACATACTTGTATTTCTGTCTATAGATTCTTTCAGTTCCAAAATGTACGTATACATTTCTTATTTTGGGATGAGAAAATTAGCTCTTTCATACTCCTGTTGATACCCAAGATCATATTCTCAATGTCATGTTGCAATTTTTGTTAAATTTGTATTTATTGGTTACATGATATTGACTATTGTTTACAGCTGAGCCACATGCTTAAAAAACATTTTTGTTTTTGGTCCTTGCATTTATAAATTGCAAAGTTTTGTTTTGTGCACTTTTAATATTTTGCCTACTGTTATAATTTAGCTCAGACCTTTTGACAAAACTGTAAAGTCTTCACAGCATTATAGTATGTCAAAGGTAGTAGGTAATCTCTCAGTTTTATGTCTGTGTTTCCACCTCTATGTCCCTTTAGTTTCCTGTCTTGCTGCTCTAATTGGTATTGATTCTACTTTAGACCCACTGAATAGCAGTTATTTTGAATTGGCTTTTTTATTTTTGGATATAAGTATTGTACCAGGGCCTTGCACAAGCTTGGTAAGAGCTCTCTCTCTGAGCTAGCTTCCCAGTCCTTTTTATTTTGAGACAAGATCTTACTAAGTTGCTCAGTCTAGCCTTGAACTTGAGATCCACCTTCCTTAGCCTCCTGAGTCACCAGGATTATATGTGTGTGCCACCATACTCAGCTTGACTTACTTTTATAATTATTTGGGGAATGAAATTTTTTTTTTTGGTATTGGGGATTGAATCCAGAGGCACTGAGTCACATCTGCAGCCATTTTTAGTTTTTATTTTGAGACAGGATCTCACTAAATTGCTTAGGGCTTTGCTAAGTTGATGAGGCTGGCTTTGAACTCTAGCTGTTCCTGACTCAGCCTCTGGAGCTGCTGGGATTAAAGGATCATGCCATGGCACCTGGTTGAAATGAATTTCTTTCATTTTTCTCTCTTGCAATAAATAACCTATTTTCTGGATCTTTTAATGTTTTCTTTCTCAGTTTACTTTCTTATTTTGACAGTTTTTTTTCTGAGAAGAGCTACAAAGGAGATAAATTTTTGAGACCTTGTAGATCTGAAAATGTCTTTCTTTTGCTTTCACACTTGATTGATAATTTAGATGTATTTATGTATTCCAAGCTGGAAATGACTTTACCTCAGCATTTTGAAACCATTTTTCTTGGTTTTTATCTCCCAGCCTTGGTTGCAGAATGACGGGAATCATAGGAGAATTTTTTTTTCCAGTTTTCAATTTTTTAATTTTATTTTTTAAATTGCTTTTATTTTTTAAATACATGGCAGCGGAATGCATCACAATTCTTATTACACATATAGAACATAATTTTTCATATCTCTGTATATAAAATATGTTCACACCAATTCTTGTCTTCATATATGTACTTTGGACAATGATGTCCATCACATTCCTCGTATGGAGAATTTTTAAAACTGCTAATGCCTGAGCCTCACCCATACAGATCCTGCTTCAGTTAGTCCTCACTTGTTGAAATGTCTTAGGTGCTTCTAATTGTAGCAAAGGTTAAAAACCACACACCTTGACTTTTATCAACATCATCAATATCACTATGGAATTTTGTCCTTTTTCTTAAAATGAAATATGCTGCCTTTTAAGTGATTCAGCTTATTTAATTACACTTAATGAGTTTGCTAAATATGTCTGATACATGTTATAAATAAATATTTAAGAATTTTAAAAATCTATATACCCACATTGGATCTTGAGGCCTATTGTCGTTCTCATTATTATTTTTTAATGTTTAGGTATTACTGTACTTGAAAATTTCACTAAACATTGGTATGAATTTTTTTCATCATTTTTTGTGCTGGTCATGAGGTGGGCTCATTTTAATTTGGGAACTCATTCTTCATTCTGGGAATATTTTTGTTGTTGTTTTTTAAAAAAATTCTTCCTCTTTTTTTTTTTTTTAAATCTTTAGTTGAGAGTTGAATCCCAGACTGATCACCTGTATATTTTTAAATTTCTATTTTCAACTGTGACATTTTATTCTCTTTTCTGGGACATTATTATCCAGTGAATTTTTGTTACAATATTATTTCTTTTCTAAAAAATTTTCTCTTTCCACCTTTTTTGTGCATTATAGTTATACATAATGATGGGATTTGTTATTATATATTCATACATGTACACAATATAATTTTATTTCTAAGATTTCTCTTGCATGTGGATGTTTCTGTAGCAATCATACTTTAAAATATGCAATATTTTTCATCTCAAGCTATTAATTAAGTTTTTAAAAGTATATTTTGTTTTAGTTTTTGTTTTTTAGCTCTCAGTGTTTTTTCTTTCATGGTTCTTTGTTATTCTGGTCTTTTCTCAAGTATTATGTGGCTCTTGACAGTGAATTCATATTTAAAAGTGAAGATCTTAAAAAGCAGGAATAAAGGCTTGTTGATTGTCTGGTCTCCCTTGAAGGGTGTATGTAGGAGCCTTTTTATGTATATGTGTCCTAGTGAGGAATCCTCTAACATATTCAAAGAAGTAAAACATAAACATAAGTGAAATATTTGTTCATTGCTGCTAGTATATTAGCTTGAAGAAAATAAATTTTATTGCTAAGTTTTGTTTTTATAAACTGTGTGCACAAGTAATCTGAGACCTTACGTAACTGATGGATAGAAGACATTTATGTCCTTTCATATGAGTTGTAAAATTTAATTTTTCCTTTGATAATTTTATCTGTGACTTTAAATGCCTTACGTTTTGATAAAAGTATAGTCTCCCCAGTTATAATATTGTTAATTGCCTTGTGGCAAAAATATACAGGTTACATCCACTATTGAACAACATATTAGGTATCTGTGTAGAATCAGCCACATATTATTTATAAAGAACCCTGAACAGTAATAGAATAGATTAGAAAATCACTTCATTTTTGAAAGTTTTTTTCCCATTTTATTCAGGCTTTGTGATTTCATACTTTAGCAATCCAAAAGAATAATACTTTTTTTTTTGTATACTAGGGATTTCCAACTTTAATTGAATACACAATAATTTTAATTTTGTTAAATACTAATAACCTGGAAAAAATACACAGCCAAGAGTAGGTAATATATTAATTGGTAATGATGCACAAGAAGAAAGTTACTATGTAGCATGAGCCAGTTTATTATTCTACTAGATAGTCAACCTACTGGATACTCAGTTTTAAATTTTAGTTACAACTGGGTCTGGTGGCACACCTCTAATCCTAGCTACTTGGGAGGCTAARACTGGAGGATCCTGGCTGAGTTTTAGTCCAGCCAGGCAATACAGTGAGACCTGTCTTAAAATAAAATGGAGATTTTAAAAAAGTTTTTTATGTTTTTCTGAAATTTCTTAAGGTATTTTGATATTCAAACATATAAAGAAGCTGCAAGAATAGTACAAGAAATTTCCTCATCTTCTTAACGTACATTCACCAATTATAAAATAGTAATATTAAAGTTGTTGATTTTCTACTAAGTAAATATTTTTGAGACTCTGTTATGTATGAGATCTTTGATATTTGGTTAAATATTTTTAATATTTGGTCAAATTAARAAGTATTAAAATATTGTGCATTCATAATGTGAGGCAGTTTTATTTGAATAATTAATACATTTCTCTTTATCACTATTAAAAGCACATTGTCAAAGGATTTATTGGTCTTTTATTTTTTTGCCTCTTCCAGTGCAGGTCTATTTTCATGTATTTCTGCTAAAAAGAGTCTCCAAAAGATTTGTTCTTAATGCATTTTAGTATTCTTTGTATAAGTTCATTTGTTGTAGAGTCTGATGACTTTGTAGCATAGACAGATCTTAGTCGGATGGATATGTCTTTAGGTAGAAATTATAATAATTCAATAAATGCAGATATGGAGGCGAATCCTTCTTAACATGTTGCTGCTTTATCTCATCATAAAGATATATTTTGTTTTCAACCATTTGGATAAAAGCATTCTAAAATTTATCAAAGTATCTTTTGTAAAAAGTCCTTATATATTTTGGAATAAAGATTAGGACTACTAATAAAAATTTTCTTTGTTAATTATTATTTTTTTTTTGCAGTGGAATAATAAGCAGAAATAAAGCTCTATTCAAGGAACCATTTTATAAATTTATAGCTGCTACTCCAATGGTAAACCATTGCTGAATGATGGCATGTGCTTTACCAAATTTTAATCTGTGTGCTTCATAGCTTGGGCAGCACTAAAGCACTTTGGTTTTATGTAGTTTGGTTCAAGCAATTTTAATTTAATTAAACTTTTAAACTTTTTGTACTATATAATTGCTTAATGTTTCTGATATTCTTATTGCTATAAAAATTTTTGTGTGGTTCCATTTTAACTTCTAGTTTAATTTTTTTAGACTTTATTTGCTTTTTAAATGTTATATCAAAATTGGACTATGAATTTTTCAATTAGTTTAAGATAACATTTCCCAAAGTGTTGTCCAAGGAAATGCTACATGCTATAAGCCCCTGTTAGAGAGTTACAACGATGATAGTATGTATTAAAATCTTTGAGAAGGTCTTTTTGGTAAAGGCATTTATTAGCTTTCTTTAACCCAAATTTCCCCAAATTTATTTACCTATTCCCTCATAGAAAGGAAATTATTTCTCTATCATTTATCAGTCATTTTTTGGTGGGGCATTGTGTTAAATCATTTAGTCCAGTGTTTCTTAAAATATATTTTGTTACATTTGGGGAAATTAATGAAAATTCTTAGAAAAGAATTCTGTGATCAAATAAATTATATCTCTTTAGTAAATCACAGACACATCATACTCAGAGATCTTTATGGTACAGTGACTTTCAAACTTCAAACTTATAAAAGAGAACTTTTTATTAAGAACTAAATTTTAATGTGTATTTTAAAGACAGATAAGTGTGTAAAACAGATCAAAAGCAGACAAAAGAAGAGCTGGTTTAGCTGAACTATGTCAAAGAATCTGAAGCTTTTACAGAACCATTCTTTGACTTCTCTAATTAGAGTTGAGTCCCAGGGTTGGAAACTAGGACCCACAGGGGAACTCTCACTACAAGTCATGGGTTTAAGGAAAATTTTGTTAGCACATGAGCCAGGCCCTTGGCTGCTTTTACTCTATAGTGGAAGAATTGAGTAGTTGCAACAGGGACCTTAAGGGATATGAAGCCTAGAATTCTCATTCTTGACCCTTTAAAGGAAAAATTTACTATTTCAGTTTATCCATAGTGACCCATTCCTGGGGCTATGAAAGTTGTTAATTGTTTCACTATCTAAACTCCTTTTGTGATAACTTAAGCCTTTTTTTTTTTTTAAACAAATTCCCAGTTTTAGTAAGGAAAGAACTAGTTATTGTTCTTTTTTTTTTTTCATTTTTGGTGGTGTTTGGGTCTAATCCAAGATCTTGCATATGCTAATTAGCTGTAACTTTACCATTGAACTGCATCTCCAGCCCCTAGTTATCATCATCCTTATTTAATTTTGTCATCTGCAGAGTGAGGTTCATGAAGACTCTTACACGATAGCATTTCAAAGCTTGAAAATGTTTTGTAAGAAAATATTTTTTCTTATCTTTGTTTCTATTTTTTAATTCAATAGAAATTTCCAAGAGTAAATTTAGACTTTTGCAGAAATTTTCTTATTAATTTTGCTTCTTTTGCAACTAACGCATTGCATGTGGTGGTTTGCAGTGGTATCATTGGTCGTAGCAGAAAAGATTTCAAGAGGTACTTATTCAACTTCATCGCTGCCATGCCTCTCGTAAGTTTCATTCTTGAAAAATCTTATTCATCTAGGGAAAATTTTCATCTTATTAAAATCTTTAAAGATTTTTAGTTATTAAGTTCTTTAAAGATTTATGATACAAAGTTCTAATTTGAGTTTAGTTTTGTAATTTATAGTCTAATATTTAAATGTAAATCATCACAGTAGGTAGAAAAATTAAAAGAAATTGCTTGGTTCAATTTCACTTGTGGTATACATATTTTAGTGAGTTTTATTTTAACTTTCAGGCCATATTTTCCCCAGTGTTAGTATTTAGTAGCATTAGTTGCACTCCTCTCCTAGTGGTGACAACCAAAAATGTTTCTAGATATTGTGCTAATTTGGAGGCAAGATAGGGAAGCACATCACCCTGGTTGAGAGCAATTGCTTTAAGCTATTATAGGAATTGATCTTAAATTAGAATTTATGATCTGAATTTATTAAAAATAATTTATTTTAAAATATGAATGATTTTTTTAGCATGGTTCCTATTTTTATCTTATTGACCCTATAGGAATTTTAGTGTTCTAAATTTGGGGATAGAAAGGAGAAGCTTAATTATAAAAATTGAAAGAATATCAGAAATTCTAGTTTAATAAACCTTGGTGGTTGGCATAAGCAACATAGATATTAAAGATGGAGAATCAGTAGAAAACCAGTGTTTTGCAAGTACTACTTGAGAAAATTTTTGTTATGAATGAGTTTGAAATGTAAATATGAGTTCAGAACTATGGGAGGATTAATTTTWATATTATCATGGAAAGTATTAATAAATATAGCTGTAGAAATAATCTGTAAGACAACGTTAGTTGGTATAAAACTTATACTGTTTTTTAAAATAAACTCAGTAGCATTTATTGTATAGGGTTGTAGTTCTAATAGCAGGCAATAGAAGATATAAAAATAAATGTTTGGATTTCTAAAAGCACTTCTTTACATTGTATAGAAAGATGACAGCTTTGATTTTTTTGTTCACAAAATGTAATATTTTATAATTACTAATATTCTAGATTAAGTTCCACATAAAGTTTAATATAAGGTAATAAAAGCCATTTGCATTTGGTTTAGCTTGTTGTGTATATTGTTGTAAATTCTAAGTAAAACAATTGAATTATAATAATATGGACTAGCAGTTATAGAAATCATAGGATTTGTGGATGCAGTAAATTGATACAGAAGTAAATTATATCTTAGTAAGAAGTGAAGTAATACGAATAATATTTGTTTGTTTTAGATCTCTCTGGTTAATAACTTCTTGAAATATGGGTTAAATGAGCTCAAACTGTGCTTCCGAGTAAGGCTCACCAGATACCTCTATGAGGAGTATCTCCAGTAAGTAATGGCTTACTTTTTTTTTTAATTTATTTTTTTTAGTTGGACACAATATCATCTTTATTTTATTTACTTATTATTATTATTATTATTATTTTTATGTGGTGCTGAGGATCGAACCCAGGGCCTTGCACGTGTTAGGCGAGTGCTCTACCATTGAGCCACAACCTCAGCCCAGTGATGGCTTACTTTTAAATTAAAACTACTTAAAACTGAACAGTTAGTATTTGCGATACTGAGATATAGAAGTTTTTCTTATTTTTTTATATATGTTTTTTAAGAAAACTACTTCTAGACACAAAAGCATACTGGGGATGATCTGATCTCTCAGTTATCTGGAATCTCACCGTGGCTCATGGTTAGCAAGTCATCCTTCTCTGGACTTGCTTCCTTATGTCTAAAATAAGTTAAGACAATTCTTAGAGTCTTTTCTGTCTTTAGACATTTCTGCTTCTCTGTGTTTGCATTTGGTGGCATAATATGATTTTTTTTGGTTATGTGTTTAATATCACTTGTCATTTTCTTATTGCTATTTTAGAACTTTCACATATTATAAAATGGGAAATCTGGACAACAGAATAGCTAATCCAGACCAGCTACTTACACAGGATGTAGAAAAATTTTGTAACAGTGTAGTTGATCTGTATTCAAATCTTATTAAGGTAAGTTTYTCTATTTTTAAAAAATTGTTAAATTTGTTGAATTTAGCATATAAATATTCAGTGTTTTTATGAGAAAACGGGAATTGTTATAATAGTTACAATTATATAATTATTTTTTAATATTATTTTTGTGTTTTAGCTTAGAATTGGTCATTCACTGTTTTTACAAAGATTTTGTAAGAATTTTCAGGTTGATTTCTGTAAAATACATCTGAATTCTTATCTCTTGACTTGTGTACATGTGAAGTTGCTGGAAATTGACTTAATTTATGTATCTAATTCCACATCCTCAAACTACAGATGAAGGGCTTCCTACCTTTTTTGTGTTTTATTTTCTCCATTTCTAATAGATCATTAAGTTGTAGACAGAAAACTTTCACATGGTGTAAATTTATTTCAGTTTTCTAAATACTGTTTTTTTCCCTTCTCAGAATATTGCCCAAGCTCTTGACTTTGATAAGCTTTAACCAGTTTTCTTTTAAGCTGTTCATGTCTTCAGTTCTTACTTGTCTTACTCATCTTCTCTCATCACCCTTGAATTTCTACTATAGTCTTCTCATTAAGCCAGCTTCTTTGTCCTTATCTCCTGCACTCAGTAGCATATTTAACAGGCACTTGTAAGATTGTTAACCCAGCATCCCCTCCCCTCTTCATCTGAGATGCTGCAGTTTCCACTCTTATCAACATAACTGCCCTTGAACTATGGTAGGACCTTGTCTCAAACTGGATTGATTAGAGTATCTTTGCCTCCAGTCACAACTGACCCAGATATCCAGTCTTGGGACAAAAAACTATACATAAGGGACTAGGTCAAGTTGTAAGACTGGGAATGCTCCTGCTTCAGGTACATGGCTGGAGAGAAAAGCAGTACTTGAAAAAGGGATATATATCCACAAGAACTTCCCTCCTTGTATACATACAGGCCCTCTGCTAAAATATTCTCATTTCATGCCAAACTTTATTCTTTATTTAGCTCTCCAGATGCCTTTGCTAACTCATCTGAACTCTAGGAACTTAGACAAGTGCAAATAGTAATTCAGTAATTCAGCTTTCTTTTCTGTTCACATTACTACATTGAAAATTTGTTCTCTGTGTATGTGGCGGTGGTAGGGGATATAGGGTTTATGGGTGGGGGATTTACATAAAACTTATCATATAATTTTGATACCAGTTCTATAGGCAAATTATAATATATTCTTTACATCTTGGCACTTGAGCAAAAGTGTAGTTCAGGTCTTGTCGCATCTACAATAGAAAAGAGTATTGTTGAATTAATTCTAGAGATGCTGTGATGTGTTTACTGTTTTAAATATCTAATTATTTGATATCTGACTTAAATTGAGTCATTTTTTTTGACTTGTCAATGACTTTTAAATGTACTTGAATTTTATGAGTATTTCTAACTTCTTGATAATTTATAAAAGAGAGAAAAAAGGAAAAAAAGAAAAAGAAAAGGTAGATCTTGGCCAATCTCTTCTAGTGACATCTGAAGGGGAAGCTGTAGATTTCAAGTGAATGAGCAAAACTTGGGGTCCTTGAAACACTTCATGGTGCATGCCACTAATAGTATGACAGTTGACTTCTCTGTGAGGAGCAGTATAAGTAAGGTAGTTATAGAAGCTTGAGTTTTATGTCATAAAATTAAATTCATGGGCTCACTTGATAGTTTCAATTTATAAATGTTGTGATAAAATAATAGAATCAAACAGTTTTAGAGCAGGAACAACCTCTTCTGAAGATGATTAGAACTAGAAAAGTTGATAGTAGATTTGAGGTTACAGCTCAGGTACGTTTGTTGTGTGTCTTTAGATTACATTGAGAAATTACTAAGTTGCTAAYAGTTAATTATCACAGTAGGGCTGTCTTAGTTGATGGAAAGTGATGAGTATTTCTCCTATGTGATGTCAGTAGGTGTTGTTAAGGTTATCTTTATTTTAGGTTTCTTGAGATAAGAACTGTATGTTTTATGTAGTCATTGATCTGAGTTCTATTATAGTACATTATGCTCAGTATGAACTCTACATGTTGATAATTTAAGTATTAAATGTTGAGTAACATTTTGTATTTAGCATGTATTAGTTGGCAATCCAGTTCTTCAGTTTTAATTTTCTGTATTTATTTTACAGCCATTTTTAGATATAGTTTTATATATTTTCAAGTTAACAAGTGCAATTGGAGCTGAGGTAAGTCTATTTTTATTTCACTTTTTAAATTGCTATAGTACTGTGTTGAGAATAGATTGATGGTCTAAGAAATTTTTTTGTATCCCAAAGAACATGTTTTCACATGATGCACCTAATAAAGTTTGGTTATAAACTATACTAAAGATTAAAAAATTCTAATTTAGCTTTTTAATTTCCCTTAAGTCAKACACTTGGAAAAATTTTATTGCAGTAATAACCAGAAGTACTTAAACATTGAACACATAAACACTTATTGTTGAAAAGTAATGTCTAAAAGGAGATTTGAAGACAACCATTTTACTCTAAAACTTGAATGTTAAATATCAGCAGTACATTCAGAATAGTCACAACAATTTTAAGACTATTTTATAATAATATAACTATCCCCATGAGTTTTATTACCTTTCCTCTGGCATTTGTCATGGCCAGAGTTACCTTTAAATTTTCTCTTGAATATTCTCACTTAGTCATTTAATATGTAATGTCATAAGTATTTATAACACAAGCATGTATGGTGGGATTGTTTTATGTTATGTGTACATATATGCATTTTTAGTTGATTAATAAATAACTTACATAATGGTTTTTATTGCTTTCCAAAACACTAGGGAAAGTGGGTTTTGTCTGACTTTTCTTGTCTAGCATCTTAACCCTTTGCTATCCTGTAATTCAGGTTAAATCATTCTCAAAGCTTATTTTTATTGTGAGTGACTAATTCTAATCTGTCTTATCTCTATGCTATACTATTTTTGTTTTAGTATAAAAAACAAACATGTCTTTGTGTATTACTGTTAATCTGATTTTTCATATTTTGAAAGCAAAAACTATGTTTTAGTTATCACGTGCCCTGTATTTCCAGTAGTTTTTGAAACACCTTGAATCAATCAGGATTKTTTTTTTTTTTGGTGCTAGGTATTGAACCTGTGTGCTAGCACTGAGCCATATCCCCAGACTCTCAATCAGGTTTTCAGGTTTTTATTTTTTWATTTTTGGTGGTTCTGGGGCTCAAACCTAGAGCCTGCAGCATACTAGGCAAGCACTCTGTGACTGATCTGCACCCCATAACCCTAGGTTTAATTTTAAAACAATTTTGAATAGATACTATATTTCATGTACATTATGCTAGATAGTACAGAAAGATGATTAAATTCCCCCTGAAGAGAAATTGTGACATGTGAACAAAGGTGAAACATGTAGTTATTCAAGCAATTATAAAACAGTGTGAAAAGTTTAATAATGGAAGTGGCAGGTACTAACCACCTGGAAGAATTAGAACTGATCCTTGAGTTGTTTTGAGGAGATAATGGGTATTCATTAGATAGGTTAGGCTTACCAGACATAAGAACAACCTCACTGAATGGCATTTTCAGGAAATAATTATTTTTGTATGGCACAGCATAGGATATATTTTATATAGTAATGAAAGAAGGGTCAGTAATGAACGTGGACAGCTTGAATCTTCTTTCTTAGAATGGTGAATGAGTGATAGGGTCATTTACAAAGTTAGAAGGTATAGCAGCTGGAAGCAAGATGTACAAGCAGGGAAAGGCAGAGTTTGAGGGAATTGAACTTGAGGTGTCTATGCAGTGAGTTGAAGATGTGTGATGATACTAATTTGGCAATAATATCTTGGGATCATAAGAGTGATGAGACTAGAAGTACAAATTTGGGATAAGAAGAGAGATAAGKAAAGAAACTGAGGGAATATTAACATTGAAAAATAGGACAGAGATATGAGGATTATTGTGGAATACTAAGAACTTATCAAGAAGAATAGAAGAGCATTAGATGCTGCAGGAAAAGTAAGAACTGAAATTATAGCTTTTTAGGTAAGCAGATATGGGAGAGTGGGGATGAACTGCATTGGTTAGAGTAGTAGACAGAGTGAAAGTGTAGAGACTATTGTGTATTTTTTCAGGAAAGAAACAGGGAAAAACATTAACCCAAGGAGCCTTTTCTATCATTCATTGGAGTTAATTATAGAAATTGTACATGTTTGCATCCAGTGGATTTTATTATGGTATCCTTGAACTTTGTGTATCTTTCTCTGTTAAAAATAATAGGGCCCAGCAAGCATGATGGCCTACTTGGTTGTGTCTGGGCTATTCCTAACTAGACTGAGAAGGCCCATTGGTAAGATGACAATTACTGAACAAAAGTATGAAGGTGAATATAGATATGTTAATTCCCGGCTCATTACAAACAGGTAAGAATAAATTTCTGCGGGTTATCAGAAAATTCWTTTTTATGAATATTGATGTCATTTAAATTGACTCTAAAATATCTAGTAATGCTTTTACAGAAATAGTATGTACATATTTTCTTGTTCTGAAATGTACATTTTATACAGTATGTTTTACTAAGCACTAATTCCTATTTCTAACCCTTTTTCTTGTTAATCCCATATAGTATCCTTGATTCCCTTCTTCATATCATCTGTTGACTACTTTTTGTTAATTTTGCTTTAAATTAAGTCATGTGTACAATTCGAATTAAAATTTGCTTATAGTATTTATTCAAAGAAAATTTTCTCTCAATTTACCCACAAACATTTTTATTTTGAGAGTATGTTTGCAGTGCTGTCTAATTCAGTCTTACTACATGTGTTTTTACCTATTTTCCAGGTAGTTTTAGTATTCAAAATAGGAAGAAAAAYTATGCATCTTTGATGAGCCATACTAATTTTAAAACCTGCCTCTTCACTTAAGTGATCATATATTATATGATTTTAGTAAGTTATTCAGACTCACTTTTCTTGTTTATAAGAAGTGAATAATATAGAGGATTATACTTGATAATATTTATATAAAGCTTCTAGCTCAGTTTTTTGATATGGAGCAAGTGCTCAATAAATATTATCAGTCTGCCAATCTTAAGTCATTTTGAGGGTCCTAATATTTATATAATACTCTATAGGCTATTTTATTGAAATTTGTAAAATACTTAGGAAATTACTTTCTTAATGATTCCTTCTTATTGGATTGTTAAAATGGTACTAGTTTCACATGRGGTTTTGTACTCTGGGGAGGGAATATAGAAGGTTAAGTAGAGAGGTGTTTTGCCAAATAAATGAAAGATGGTATCAGCTAGGATACTTTTTACTGCCAGAAGCAAACATGACTCATGAGATCCCAACAATAAAGACTCCTAAGAGAGATTAGGGCTCTTGCTCTTGTTGAATGTTCTCTTGTGATGCCCTTCTTTGTGTATTGCCCCCTTCCATGGGTTAATTCTCGTGATTACAAGATGACAAAAACAGTCCCAGATTGCACTAGCCTATCCACCTTGCAAAAAGGTGCAGGAGCAAAAAGGGGCCATCTCTTCTGGTGTCACTTTAAGGGAGCAAAGAAACCTTTCCCAGAAATTATATAGCTGACTTTCCCTTACATCTCAATGACCAAAATATTGTTTGCCCATGCCTAAAGCAACCACAGCAAAGTGATTGGCTTAGATTAGTTGGGATCCTGTACTCTGTGAGTTGGGGGTGAGCATTAGGGTGCACAGAAAAGAATAGGTAAATTTAAGAWAAATGAGGTCTCTTAGGAAAAACTTGGAAGAGAATAGATGTTGAATAGTCAGTCATTAATATTATAAGATGTTCAGTCCTTTGAGATTTTTCATTAGGGCTAAAATGACTCATTCCAGGAGAAGGAAAATTTCTCATCTCATCAACATCTGTAGACTTAGATATGAAGAGGAGGTAGAAGTAAAAAAGAAAACAAAGAAGAAGAAAAGAGTAATTATAGGTATTGGGATTCTCATATATGGGACTCTGTGTCAGGTCAAGGAAGCTGGGAAGCACAGGATAAATGTGGTTCACCTTTATGGAAAGTAATTTTTCTGGAAGTGGTCGAGTTAGAAAATACCTTGCTTTCATGATGGGAAAAATACAGGTGGTTTTTTGTAATAGAATAAAACTTTAAGGGAAAAAAAATGAAGACTTTTAAGAAATATTTTGTATGGTTTTTGAAGTTGCTTCAAATGTGACTTCTAAAGTTCTGTGTAAATGTTTACTTTTCTCTGCTAGAAAAGGGACTTTGCTGGGATGGTTTACATTGTTWTATTTGTATAGTGGAAAGACTATAAACTTTAAGGTCAGAAAGGAGTGATATTTTCAGCTTCTTAACTTGCTGGCTATATGACTAACAAATTGACTAAACTCCGTGGAACAGTTTTTCATCTATCAAATCCACTCTCCTCCCCACTTTTTCTAGTCAAGATTCTTGTCTTTGTAGTCACATTCAAGCTAGCTCTAGAAAAGGGCATTTATGAGGATGTAGTGGGGTTCCAAGAATAAGAACAATTACTATGCATCTGGGCTCCTGGGAATGCACTGTGAAGCCTTCAGGACTTAACCTGGTTTTCTGTTTTTCAAAGGCTGTGAAGACATTGCTACCTGTCTTTTTCTACGCCCCCCCCCCCACCTCCTGTTTGGGTCTCTACTTGAACTTGTAGACTATAATGTCTGTCCTAGCCATATCTTTTTACATATCATAGCATCTTCCTACTGTGTCTTATTTCAAATTCCTGAGAATTAGCCTGTCATATTTTTTATAGCCAGACTACCTTTTGGCATTGGCTACAGTCCAGTGTATGATCCATCCCAGTGTGAATTGCTGCAACCCAATAAATTGAGCAGATAGTTTGAGATGCACCAGATAAGCTCTTAGTCACAAAATAGCCATTTAAATACAAACTTTTAGTCATCAAATATTGTATTTCAATTACTTTTCAGTCTTAAGTAAGCAATAATTAATTGCTAAATTATTTTCCTTAATAGTGAAGAAATTGCCTTTTACAACGGGAATAAAAGAGAAAAGCAGACAATCTACTCAGTCTTCCGGAAACTGGTAAGATGACATATTTGTGGCTCATGTATTTACAGAATTTTTTTTTTTTGGCTTACGCCAGAAAATATTTATCTTGTATATATATGTATATATGTATACATATCTTAAAAACATTTCCTTTTAAATATCTGTGAATATTAATCTGCCCACTTATGAAAGTGGATAAATTTACTAAAGTAATATATTTTGGCTTTTTTGGAACCATGCAGACTCTTGCAACTTTTCAGCTCTGCTACTCAAAGGCAGCTATATATAATATATACATGAATAGGAGTGACTGTATTCTAACAGATCTTTATTTACAAAAACAAGTGGTATCCTTGATTTAGATTCTGGGGTCATAGTTTGCTGATATTTGATTTAGAATATAAACATTTGTTTCTTAAGAAAGCTTTATTTCAGTTTGTACATAATTGCTACTTGGAAAATTTGAATTCAAGTAATTTTATTCATTACTTTTTCAAAAGATATCAAGTACTTGATGGGCTCCATTGTTGGTGCTACTGATAAGTAGATGATGAACTTCATGGATAAAATCTTTCCTTTGGGGCCCTTACATTTTAGTCGAAATTTGTGAAATTAAATATGTATTTTAGATACATATTTGAGAAAGGTAAAAGAAGTTTTAAATTATTTCAGAAACTAGATTTTTGCATTATCTTTTAACATTACTGAAATTTTTCAGTGCTCACTGACAAAACGCATTTAAGGCCATTTTCCAGGGGACTGCTGTTTACCAGTTTGCTCTTTATATGGCTTGATTAGTCTCATGCTTTAGATTTTCAGCTCAAATATTAATACTGATGAGCCTATTTGAAATCACTCTGTGACAGTTCCTTCTTGTTTTAATCATCTGTTTCCTTAAAAGTACATGGCAGTTTATAATTATCTTATTTGTTTTCTGGTTATCCTCTTTTATTAAAATGTAAACTCTATGAGCTCAGGGACCTGGTCCATTCTATTCATTGTTGTGTCTGTAGCATTGAGCAATGTCTGATGCATTGTATTCATTGAGTAATGCTCCAAACATTGTTGTAGTTGCAGATACTTAGAACAAGTTACCCTGTACTTAGCAAGCCTACATTTTAGTGGAAGAGACAGTTAATACAGTTAATATGTAAACAATTGGATATTCTGCTTAATATCCTTTATTAYAGACTTTATTATTTTATATAATAATAAAGTCTGTAACCTAAAAGGAAGCAGAGTAGTGGGAGAGTGTATGATGGGGTTTGTTGCCTAGCTACTTTGTCTAGAATGGCCAAGGTCCTTCTTGAAGAGGCACTGTTCAGTCAGAAGCCCACATGAAGTGAGGATTAGGTACTTCATGTGGGAAGAAGAAAGCATTTGTTGCTAACAGAGGGAACAAGAGGATAGCCTGTGAAATGAAATGAACCTGTATTTCTGGGGCTCAACAAGAAGTAGCAAAATAGCCAGGGGTGATGCAGGAAGCTCTGGAGGCTAAGCAGGAGGAGGATTTTTAGTTCAAAGCCAATCTCAGTAATTTAGCAAGGCCTTAAGCAATTGAGTGACCCTGTCTCTAAATAAAATACAAAAAAGGGCTGGAGATGTGGCTCAGTGGTTAAATGCCCCTGAGTTCAATCCTCAGTATCCCCCCCCCAAAAAAAAGAGTAGCAAAATAGAAGCAGACGAGCTTAAAAATAGAACTCTGCCAGATCATGCAGCACCTTGAATGATCTGATAGGTAGAGAATTTGAGAACCCTAAAACTCCAGAATAAATCATGTTTGTAGATTTCTAATTTTCAGATAATGCAATTCACAGACTCAGGTTGTGTGGCATTGATTTACATTAGCACTTGGTTCAGATTGGTTATAATGTAATTCTTAAAGACTGTGTGTCTTCATGAATAACAAAGCATTGAGTACCTATCTGGATAGCTAATAGTTCATCCAAATTAGCTCATCTCTATTCCTTTTCTTTGGCTTTTGATTGGTTTGGGGATATATGTGTCTAACAATATTATAAACGGAGGCATTGTAACACGCAAGGGAAGCAACATTGTTAAATTGCTTTCATAATTTCCATTCTGTTTGCTTAAAAATTGTTTCATGAAGTGTGTGTTTGGCACCTGCTCTGTGATCAGCACATACTCAGGGAAGTGTGATGTAAATTATAATCAGAAATGATACTCAGTAAATATTTATTGAATAAATGAATTTTATAGTTTGTTTTATCCTCATGATAGATTTAATTTTTATATATATTAAGAAAATAAACTTCTGTTTTATGACAGGTGGAACACCTACACAATTTCATTTTGTTTCGGTTTTCAATGGGCTTCATTGATAGCATAATTGCCAAATGTAAGTATGTTTTCAAAGAGATGGTGTAATGAGATTTGTGGAAAAAGTGAAATAATGATAGTGTTTTAGATCTTTGACTGTTTTTTTCTCAGACATTGCCACTGTAGTTGGTTACCTGGTTGTGAGTCGTCCTTTCCTAGATTTATCTCATCCTCGTCATCTCAAGAGTACGCATTCAGAGCTTCTGGAGGTAAAGTAACAATAATGATGATAATAAAATTTAAAAATAAYCTTATTTAAAATTTTTGAAATGTAAATGAAAACTAATATTTATTTCTATTTAAGGATTACTACCAAAGTGGAAGGATGCTTTTGCGAATGTCTCAAGCTCTGGGTCGAATAGTTTTGGCTGGGCGAGAAATGACTAGATTGGCTGGGTAAGACTGGCTAATAATGAGCAATTACAGAGGATTATTTTAAAAAATACGTTGTCCTTAATGATTGTGCCCAGGTGAGGTTAAGATAAGGGGCAACGTTTCCTAGTCAAGGAAGCTGATTCTGATAGAAGTTAATTAAGCAAGATTTTTCTCTAACAGAAATCTTTTCATGCTTCTTGAAGATACTTGTTTTGAGCCTTACATTACATTAGTGGTTCTCAGGTTTTTACTTGGTGGATACTGGCATTTTATGAGCTGGGAAATGATGGGCCATGGCAGCCTTTTCTTAATTCTCGGAAATTAAGTTAATGAATAGATTTTTTTTTTTGTTTGAACTTTTTTGTTTCCATGACAATTTTTTCTTAGATTTTTTAATAGTGGAAACTTAGAAAAACCATCCCACATTTGAACTGACTTTGATGGAAAAAAAATTAAAAGTCTGCATGTGACATCTGTAGGTGCAGATGTAGATATAATCAGATTGTGTAAAAATGAAATTGTTCTTAGACCATGGAATGGAATGAAATCTTTCAATGTTTTAGACTCTTCTCAAAGGGCTGTAGTATTAAAAAAAAGACCATAGACTGATAGGAACATGGCGGCGGGAAGGGAGTGAGCGGCCCCTTGACCCGTGCCACTGTGTTCACAGGCTGTGAGTTCAAAACGGCCAGTTGATGTCTTGTCAGGAATATTCAGGGAAGTTGGTCTCCATGGAGTCTCAGGCAAGAGTTTGAGCATTGGAAGGGCATGGACACAGCTCAGACGTGAGAGAAATCGAGCCGCCCTGGCACGGAGGAACCCGAGGAACTAAACAGTAACCCTCCACGGCCGGGCGAAATTGAGCACTGTGGAGACCTGGCAGCGCAGAGAAATGGAATTTCGGATCCTGTGGAGGTCTGACACCCTTGCCTCCACAGGGCACCAGACTGAGAATTGAAGTTGGAATTTAGTGAAGAAACAGCCCAGGTCCATCCTCCTCACTGGACTCCCCGGCTTGGAAACGGGCGGTCACCATCTTGGAGAATCGACGTCAGCGGATTGGATCACACACAGCAAGTTTGGCGACAGATTAGCCTTGATGACTGGGTGAATAACAAACAAAGAGGGTGCCTAGTCGGTCAAGAGAGCAGGGCATCCAGGGAGCTGTATGCCCAGAGTGAAACTAGAACTGTGGAGAGGAGCCCCGGTAATGGGCCGGGCGAGCAGGAGAAGCAAGGGGGTTAGAGACCAGGAGCAACCCAAAGAGACCGGGATTGGAGAGACACCCAGCAGGGCCTCCCCACGKATTGTTTCCTACATCCTTTGGGCAGAGACTTAGCCTGGAAAGCACAATTCCACCCACTGGAAGAGAAGAAAATAGAACTCTAGGAGTGCATTTTATTTTTCCTTTTATATATATATATATTTTTTTTTTCTTTCTCCTTTTTTTCCTTTTTTTCTCTTTTTCCTTTCCTTTTCTCTCTACTACGTGTAATTTACTAAATGCAAATAGGTGAATGTTTCTAGGCTTTCTATAGTCCTCCTAAGTACTTAACTATCCCCAAATACTCCTGTCTATTCTCCTGTTAATATCCCCCTTCATTAGAGCTCTCCTCCAAAGTAGCTAAGATATACTAACCCCCATATCATCACATCTTTCCACCTAAACATAAAGTCCTAAGACCAAACTTCAGTTCTCTATACACCATCAGAATCTGTATGCCTTTTAAGAAACTGATGAAATTACTTTAAATTACAACTGAACCCAACATCTCTAGACATTGTCTCCCATCACAAAGGAGAGATCTCGGAGCTACACAAAATCAAAACAAATTTATAGGAGAAAATAATAGCACAGCAGTCCAACAGAGCTGGAAAGAAAAGTGGGCATCATGAAAAAAAAGGAATACAAACAATGCAGGACAGCTCAACATTACAAGAGTTGCTAGACAAGGCAGAGAGATGGTCAGATAAAAATTTCAGGATATACATGCTTCAGCTGGTATGGAGTCTTAAAGAAGACCTTAGACAGCAAATGCAGACAATGAAAGATCACTTTGACAACAAATTACATAAACAAATACAAGAAGCAGAAGAACAACTCTACAGGGATACAAAAAAATCAAACAGAAATCCTGGAAATGAAGGAAATTATAAACCAAATTAAAATTCAAATGAGAGTATCACCAATAGAGTAGACCAATTAGAAGTCAGAATATCAGACAACGAAGACAAAATATATCATCTTGAAAAGAGTCTAGTCAACTCAGAAAGGCTGGTAAGAAACCACGAGCAAAACATCCAAGAGATCTGGGATAACAAAAAAACCAAACTTAAGAGTCATTGAGATAGAGGAAGGTTGAGAGGTCCAAACCAAAGGAATGAGCAATGTGTTCAATGAAATAATTTTAGAAAACTTTCCAGACATGAAGAATGAAATGGAAATCCAAATCCTAGAATCCTACATGATGCCGAATGTCAAAACCATGAGACCCACAACAAGACACATCATAATGAAAATGTCAAATATACAGAACGAGGAGAGAATATTAAAAGCTACAAGAGAAAGGAGGCAGATTACATTTAGAGGAAAACCAATTAGGTTAACGGCTGATTTTTCATCACAGACACTGAAAGCTAGAAGATCCTGAAACAACGTATTTCAAACGCTGAAAGATAATGGGTGCCAACCAAGAATATTGTATCCAGCAAAATTGGGCTTCAGGCTTGACAACAAAATAAAAACCTTCCACGATAAACAAAAGTTAAAAGAATTTACAGCCAGAAAACCAGCACTGCAAAGCATTTTGGGCAAAACACTACATGAAGAGGAAATGAAAAACAACAATGAAAATCAACGAGGGGAGGTAGCACAGTAAATGAAAAAACTAATCAAAGAGGAAAAACAAATGAAGTTAAATAACAAAAACAAACAAACATGACTGAAAGTACAAACCATATATCAATAGTAACCCTAAATGTTAATGGTTTAAACTCACCAATTAAGCGACATAGGCTAGTAACCTGGATTAAAAAAAAAATCCAACAATATGCTGCCTACAGGAGACTCATCTGATAGGAAAAGACATAAACAGGCTGAAGGTCAAAAATCATACCATTCACATGGACCTCAGAAGCAAGCAAGGGTGGCCATACTCATATCAAATAAAATTGTCTTCAAGCCAAAGTTAATCAAAAGAGATGAAGGACACTATATACTGTTAAAGGGAACCATTCACCAACAAGACATAACAATCATTAATATATATGCCCCAAACAATGGTGCTGCTATGTTCATAAAACAAACTCTTCTCAAGTTCAAGAGACAAATAGACCACAACACAATAATCATGGAAGATTTTAACACACCTCTCTCACCACTGGACAGATCTTCCAAACAAAAGTTGAATAAAGAAACTAGAACTGAATAACACAATTAAAAACCTAGACTTAACTGACATATATAGAATATATCAACCATCATAAGCGGATATACTTTTTTCTCAGCAGCACATGGATCCTTCTAAAAAATAGACCATATATTATGCCATAGGGCAACTCTTAGCAAATATAAAGGAGTAGAGATATTACCATGCAATTTATCTGATCATAATGGAATAAAACGGGAAATCAATATAAAAGAAGGAAGAAAAGTTCCTACATCTCTTGGAGAATGAACAATATGCTACTGAATGAACAATGGGTTACAGAAGAAATCAAGTAGGAAATTCAAAAATTCTTAGAGATAAATGAAAACACAGACACAACGTATTGGAATCCATGGGACACTATGAAAGCGGTACTAAGAGGAAAATTCATTGCTTGGAGTTCATTCCTCAAAAAAAAAAAAAAAAACCAAAAAAAACCCCCAACAAATAAATGCTTACACATCATCTCAAAGCCCTAGAAAAAGAAGAGGAAATCAACAGCAAACGCAGTAGAAGGCAAGAAATAATTAAAATCAGAGCTGAAATCAATGAAATTGAAATAAAAGAAACAATTGAAAAAATTGACAAAACTAAAAGTTGGTTCTTTGAAAAAATAAATAAGATYGACAGACCCTTAGCCATGCTAAYGAAGAGAAGRAGAGAGAGAACTCAAATTACTAGCATACGGGATGAAAAAGGCAATATCACAACAGACACTWCAGAAATACAGAAGATAATTAGAAATTATTTTGAAACCTTATACTCCAATAAAGTAGAAGATAATGAAGGCATCGATAAATTTCTTAAGTCATATGATCTGCCTAGATTGAGTCAGGAGAATATACACAACAACTTAAAAAGACCAATATCAAGTGAGGAAATAGAAGAAGCCATCAAAAGATTACCAACCAAGAAAAGCCCAGGACCAGATGACTATACAGCAGAGTTTTACAAAACCTTTAAAGAACAACTAATACCAATACTCTTCAGGCTATTTCAGGAAATAGAAAAAGAGGGAGTACTTCCAAATTCATTCTATGAGGCCAACATCACCCTGATTCCAAAACCAGACAAAGACACTCAAAGAAAGAAAACTACAGACCAATATATCTAATGAACATAGATGCAAAAATCCTCAATAAAATTCTGGCAAATCAGATACAAAAACATATCAAAAATATCGTGCACTATGATCAAGTAGGATTCATCTCTAGGATGCAAGGCTGGTTCAATATATGGATATCAATAACTGTAATTCACCACATCAATAGACTTAAAGATAAGAACCATATGATCATCTTGATAGACTCAAAAAAAGCATTYGCCAAAATACAGCATCCCTTTATGTTCAAAACACTAGAAAAACTAGGGCTAGCAGGAACTTACCTCAACATTGTAAAAGCTGTTTATGCTAAGCCTCAGGCCAGCATCATTCTAAATGGAGAAAAATTGAAGGCATTCCCTCTAAAATCTGGAACTAGACAGGGATGCCCTCTCTCACCACTTGTATTCAACATAGTTCGAGAAACACTGGCCAGAGCAATTAGATGAAAGAAAATAAAGGCATAAATATAGGAAAAGAAGAATTTAAATTAGCACTATTTGCTAATGACATGATCCTATACCTAGCAGACCCAAAAGGTTCTATCAAGAAACTTCTAGAACTAGTAAATGAATTCAGCAAAGTCAGGATTTAAGATCAACACCCATAAATCAAAGGCATTCCTGTATATCAGTGACAAATCCTCTGAAATGGAAATGAGGACAACTACCCCATTCACAGTATCCTCAAAAAAAAAAAAATACTTGGGAATCAAGCTAACAAAAGAGGTGAAAGATCTATACAATGAAAACTATAGAACCCTAAAGAGAAAAATAGAAGAAGACGTTAGAAGATGGAAAGATATACCTTGCTCATGGATAGACAGAATTAATATTATTAAAATGGCCATATTACCAAAAGATTCAATGCAATTCCGATCAAAGTCCCAATGGCATTCCTTGCAGAATAGAAAAAGCAATCATGAAATTTATCTGGAAAAGTAAGAGACCCAGAATAGCTAAAGCAATTCTATATTGCGATATCAGATTTTAAACTATACTACAGWGCAATAGTAACAAAAACAGCATGGTATTGGCACCAAAACAGGCTGGTAGACCAATGGTACAGAATAGAGGACACAGAGACCAATCCACAAAATTACAACTACCTTATATTAGACAAAGGTGCTAAAAGCATGCAATGGAGAAAGGATAGCATCTTCAACAAATAGTGCTGGGAGAACTGGAAATCCATATGCTACAAAATGAAATTGAATCCCTTTCTCTCACCATGCACAAAAGTTAACTCAAAATGGATCAAGGAACTAGGAATCAAACCAGATACTCTGCGTCTAATAGAAGAAAAAGTCCTAATCTCCATCACATGGGGTCAGGCCCCAAATTCCTTATTAGGACACCTATAGCACAAGAGTTAAAATCAAGAATCAACAAATGGGATGAATTCAAGCTAAAAAGTTTTTTCTCAGCAAGAGAAATAATATGTGAGGAAATAGGGAGTCTACATCCTGGGAACAAGTTTTTACTCTCACACTTCAGATATAGCTCTAATCTCTAGAGTATACAAAGAACTCAAAAAGTTAAACAACAAAAAATAAATAACCCAGTTAACAATGGGCCAAGGAYCTGAACAGACACTTCTCAGAGAAGGATATACAATCAATTAACAAATACACGAAAAAATGTACACCATCTCTAGCAACCAGAGAAATGCAAATTAAAACTACTCTAAGATACAATCTCACTCCAGTAAGAATGGCGGGCATTCTGAAGTCAAACAACAAGTGCTGGCGAGGATGCGGGGAGAAAGGTACACTCATACATTGCTGGTTTGACTGCAAATTGGTGCAGCCAATTTGGAAAGCAGTATGGAGATTCCTTCGAAAGCTGGGAATGGAACCACCATTTGACACAGCTATTCCCCTTCTTGGACTATATCCAAAAGACCTAAAAAGAAAATACTAAAGGGACACAGCCACATTAATGTTTATAGCAGCACAATTCACAATAGCTAGACTGTGGAACCAACCTAGATGCCCTTCAATAGATGAATAGATAAAAAAAATATGGCATTTATACACAATGGAATATTACACAGCATCAAAAAAAAACACAAGATCATGGCATTTACAGGGAAATGGATGGCATTAGAGCAGATTATGCTAAGTGAAGTTAGCCAAACCCTAAAAAAATGCCGAATGTCTTCTCTGAATAAGCGGAGTGACTCAAAATGGGGTAGGGAGGAAGACCATGAGAAGAAGATTGCCACTAAATAGGGAAGAGAGGTGGGAGGCAATGGGAGGGAAAAGGGGAATTGCACGGAAGAAGGAAGGACACCCTCATCGTTATTTAAAAAAAATACATGTATGATGGTGTGAGGGAAAAAAAAAGAAGAAATGTGGCACATTAGATTTGGTACAGAGAAGTGATGGGAGGGGAGGGGAGGGGAGGGGAAGGGGGATAGGAAGGGCAGCAGAATACAATAGACACTAGTATTGCTGTATGTRTATACGTGACTGTATGACCAATGTGATTCTGCAACCTGTACACTTGGAAAAATGAGAAATTATACCCCATTTGACTCAAATGTAAAAGAAAAACCATAATGAAAAAAGCCCTATAAATTTCAGATTACCTGAGGRAATTTGATCACTTAAGATCTTTCTTGGGCCTGTGATTCATCTTCACATTTCTCTTCATTCCTTTCTTTTTCCCCCTGTGATAGTTAATATCTTCATGGTCAATTAGAACTTGCAAACCACTATGAGGAGTCTCTTTCTCTTGAGAATGTTGATATTTTTTCTATTTGTAATAACTTTGCTCATGCTTTTATATATTTCATGCTATGTGGAGTGGTATGGCTCTGTTCCTTGAGGATTTCTTTTAAAAAATTTATTAAGGTGTGATTGACGTATTAAAAAAACTATGTATTTAATTCATACAACTTAATGAGTGAAAACCTGGGAAAACATCACTCCATCAATACCATAAAAACATCCATCACCTCCCAAAATTTCCTTTAGGACCTTTCTGCTTGTTCTTTAAAAATTCCCTTTTACTTCTCTGATAACCACAATGTTACTAGTTTTGGTTTCTGTCTATTGCCCCAGCAATTTCCATCTAATATTAAGAACTCTTTATCTTTTTCCCTTTCCAGAGTAAGAAAAAGAGACTGTTCCCAATTCTTCCCTGTGTTCAGGGAGGCAGCATGCATTTGGCACACATCTAGTGTATTCTTCACTCAGATGGAAAGGTTGATTTTACACATTTCTTAATAGGTYACTCCAGTAGGGATCACAGTGTCTCTCCTTCCTGGGTCTGAGGAGTACACTAGCAATTGTCCTTTTATAGGGTCCATAAAAATATTCCTTAAAATTCTAACATTAAACAACTGTCTTGTTTTGCTTGTTAATCACATATTGTGTGGTTGAGTTGGGGAGTTTCTGAAACCTCTTCCCTTATCTCCATGTTCCTGCTTTTACTGAAGAAAGCACTAATTCTTCATGGTGAGACTTCTTTTGAGTTATTTTATTTAAACTGAATTATAATTTTAGAAATTCCAGTTAGGTTTGTATAAAATAAAAGATGTAATAATAGTCTGGAATTTTGATTATGGTTTCCTGTTTTTAAAATTTTAGTTTTACTGCCCGGATTACAGAATTAATGCAAGTACTGAAGGATTTAAATCATGGCAAATATGAACGCACAATGGTCTTGCAGCAGGAAAAGGGTAAATATGAATGTCAGAGTTTGAGGTCACAATTTTAAGTTTTTACTGACACAATATGATGCTTTAATACGTATTTTCCATTTCAGGTACTGAAGGAGTACAAGTCAGTACCTTGATACCTGGTACTGGAGAAATCATCATTGCAGATAACATTATAAAGTATGTCAAAAGATTCTTTAGCACCATAAGCTTTATAGTAGCCTTGTTAAGCTTTTGTAATAACCTTTCTCTTTTAGCTTAAAGTTGCTTAGTATTTAATTTAAAATTAATCTTGTTTTTTAAGAAATTGCTTTGAGATATCACTGACATAGAAAATATATATTTCAGATATGCAACTAGATTGTTTTGACATTATGTATACATTGTGAAATTATCACCACATTTCAGCTAATTAACATGTCTGACGTCTCTACATAGTTAACATTTGTATGTATGTGTGAGAATTTAAGATTTATCTTAACAAATTTCAAGTATACAATGCATTGTTTTTAACTATTGTCCCATGCTATACATTAAATCTCCTGAGCTTGCTCTTGTATTATGACCAAAACTTTATACCCTTGACCAACATCATCCCCATTTTTTCCTCCTTCAGCCTCTGAAAACCACCATTCTATTCTCTCTTTCAATGAATTTGGTTATTTTAGATTTTACATAAGTAAGATTTTATAGTATTTTTCTTTTTGTCTTATTTTGCACAGTATAATGTTCCATCCATCTCAAAAATGGCAGGATTTCCTTCCTTTTTGAAAGATTGAATAATAGTCCATTTGTATGTATGTATGTATGTATGTATGTATGTATTCACACACTATATTCTTCATCCTTTCATTAATTAAAGGAAATTTAGTGATTTCTGTAACTCAGCTTGGAGAATACATACTGCAGTGACTATGGGAGTTCAGATATCTCTTTGATTGTCTGATTTTTGATTATCTGGTTGTCTGGCCTTGGTTTTGGTTATCTGGTTTTCTGGTTTTATTTTCTTTGTAAATCTACCTGGAAGTGAAATTGCTGCATCAGATGGTAATTACATTTTTAATTTTTTGTTTTCTAAAGTGGCTTTTTCAATTTACTTTTCTTTTTTTAGATACTGGGAATCCAGAGCCTTGTGTATGATAGCAAAGCACTCTACCACTCCGCTATACTCCCAGCCCTAATGTACATTCTTACCAACAGTGTACAAGGGTTCCCCATTCCCCACATCTTGCCAGCCATTACCTCTTGTCTTTTGGATAATAGTCATTCTAATAGGTGATATTCATTGTGGTTTTGATTTGCATTTTCCTTTGTAGTTGGAGGTATTGAGCACCTTTTCATATGCCTGTTGACCATCTGAAATTTCTTCTTTTATGAAGTCTCTATTTGTGTTCTTTCCCAGTTTTTAAAATCAGGTTTTTTGTGGTTTTGGTATTAAATTGTACAAGTTCCTTATATATTTTAAAATCATTCTCTTTATTAACTTCCTCTACAGGTTTGATCATGTTCCTTTAGCAACACCAAATGGAGATATCTTAATCCGAGATCTTAATTTTGAAGTAAGTTTTAARATGCTTACATAAAAGCCTAAAAAGTGAACTGAAAAATTATTGTCTGAATATTTAAATTAATTTTAAGGCTTGATTTAATATCTAAGTTCACAGAAATTATTTCAAAACTAAATCCTCATTCACTGGACTAGACAAAGGGGAATGAAGGGAAGGAAAGAGGGAGAGGAATAGGAAAGACAGTAGAATTAATTGGATATAACTTTCCTATCCTTGAATGTATCCTATGAATACATGACCAGGGTAACTCCACATCATGTACAAACACAAGAATAGGATCCTAATTAGGATCTGTTATATTCCATGTATGTACAATATGTCAGAATATACTCTACTGTATCTCCAAAAAGAACAAATTGGAAAAAATAAAAAACAACACACCTAAGTCTTTAAATAACTTAGAAATCTAATTTTGACCTGACTTTAAAATTTCAAGTACTACTACTGTATCAAATATTTCTTTTTTTTGCAAATAAAGTACATACCAAGAAAGCCATAGAAGATATAGTTAATTGAAATTCTATAGCTATGCTGTTCAGTACAATAGCTACTAGTTATATGTGGCTACTTAATTTAAAATCAAACTAATTAAAATTAAACAAAATTTAAAATTAAGTTCCTCGGTCATACTGGTCACATTTTAAGTGACCAGTATCCACACCTGGCTGTGGTATTGGACAGAGCAGATATATGAACATTTCCATCATTGCAGAAAGTGTAGAATGATAATTTAAATATGTGAATATAATTTTAATTTCATTTAAATTAAAAAAGAAATTATGGTTAGGTATTGTTTTGACTATACAGGAGGATTTATACCTATAAAAATAAGACATAGGCTATTTTATTACTGATAAACCAGCAGGAGAGCAGCCCAATTGCACTACAAATAGCTATCCCTCAAAAAAGTAGAATTCCAGGCCAAGTGAGTAGTGATGCTGGTTCAGTGTATGCTCTTAGTGAAACAGGATATGATAGTCCACATTAAAAATAAAAAGCAATGAATATTTTTGTGTAATTTCTAAGACTTGGGGATCTAAGGATTACTGTTTAAGTTATGTGACTGTGGGACTGTATGAATGGTCTTGTAAAGATTAGTAACAAATTACTATCTTGCAGACTCTCTCCTCTGTCTAATAGAACTTTCTGTGATAATGGAATGTTCTTTATCTGCTCTGTACAGCACTATAGTCAGGTACATTCAGAATGTGACTAGTACAGCCGAGGAGCTCACTCAGTTTTAAACTTTATTTAATTTTATTAGTTTGATTTTAAGTTAAATAGCCACATATGACCAGTGGCTGCTATATTGAACAGCACAGCTCTATAATTTTTCTCTACATGCTTATGTGTATGGCCTTCTGTAATCTGTGTTTTATCTGGGAGTTTCTTCAGCTGCTTTCATTATCTAATACTTTACAAAATAAAGAGTAATTATTGTATTTGTTTTTAAATTGTTAGACCTTCAGTTTTTCTGCTCTTAGTAATTAAGTACATCTCCTATCTTCTTAAAAAACTGTAAAAGTGAACAATGTTAGTTATGCAAAGTACTTTGAACTTGCCCAACAATGAGAATTATATCACTATCACATTTTAAATCTAGGAAACACTAGAGGAAGTACAGAAAATCTAAATATGGTTGGTAAATGTCAAATGGCTCCAAGGGTCACAGAAGTGCTTCCTTAGTTAGCCCTCAGTACTCCAGTCCCTTTAGTGTATCCTGTGCCAAGTAGGTAGCCACCTTCCAGACTTGCTTTCAGAGCAAAAACACAGCTCAGAACCCTGTCTTCATCAGTTTTCCAGAAGCCTATTTATTGCCACTTCCTGAGGGTAAAAAGGGACATGGGACTTCTCCATTTAAGAATGCCTCTTGGTCCTTTCTGCTGCTTTCCTTTATTTCTGTCTGAATCCAGAAGTAAAGTAAGTTAACATTATAGGTACACATATGACTTAAGCAAAGTTAGAAGGGATTTGGTCTGCTTTCTGTTTTTAAATTTGATTATTCTGGCTATCTCATATAACAAAATTCTGCAATGCTTGTCTTTTTTGTATCTGGCTTATTTTACTTAATACAGTGTTTTCAAGATTCATTCATATTGTAGCATGTATTAAAATTTATTTTTTAAAGTTTGAGTACTAGTCCATTTTATGTGTGTTAGTTTTATGTTACTGTAACAACATCTGAGATAACTAACTTAGAAGAAAAAATTTATTTTGGCTCACAGTTTGGAGCTTCCAGTCCATGATTGGTTAGTACTGTTGCTTTGGACCTGTRGCAAAGCAGCACATCATGGTAGAAACCTGTGGCAGAGCAGAAGTACTCATTTCATGGCTGAGAAATGAAAGAGAGGAAGAGAAAGGGACTGTGGTCCCATTGTCTCTTTTGAGGGCATGCTTCTGGTGACCTAAAGACCTCCCATTAGACCTTACTTTTTAAAGTTTCTACTATCTCCCAATAGTGCCACCCAAAGGGCCAAGTTTCCCCTTTAGGGGACACTCAAAATCCACATGATAGTAGTAATGTATATTCCACATTTTGTTGATTCATGCATCTGCTTTAGTTGCTTCCACCTGTTGGCTAATATAAATAATGCTGATGACCCTCCATTTCATTATAGCAAAAGCTGAAGTCCTTTCAGTGACTTACAATGCCTTGTAGGATTCTCCTGCCCCGTCCTGTCCCCATCGCTTTCCTACTACTCTTCACTTCTGCTCTTTCTTCTCCAGCCAAATCAACCTCTTTTCTGTTTCTTTGAAAAGGACAGCTACCTTCCTTTTTCAGTGCCTTTGCACCAGGTTTTTGTGAGTGAAGATGGGTTGGAAGAGTTTTTCTCCAGATAAATTCTAATTYACTTCTTTCAAAGTTCTACCCATTTCAATTAGGTCTACTCTTGACCTTAAAAATGCAACTTCCCTCACCCTCTCCAGAGTTTCCTTATCCTGACCTGTTTTTCCTCCACCACCCTTGAGATTTTCTAACACAACTTAATTTACTTATTTATTATGCATATTCTCTATTGTATTTCTCTTCCCACTAGAATATTAACAGATAAGAGCAGGGGTTTTGTTGTCTCTTTTATTCACTAATGCAGCCCTGTAAGAGAGATTAACACAGAACATTCAGTAAATATTAATTGAATTAAATAATAGGAATCTAAGGCTCAYGAATTTAAAAAATTTGTCAAAGCCAGGCTACACAGTTGGTTCTCTGATCAGACTTCTTTCCTGCTGTGCTATGTGGATGTTAATGTTGTAAACTAGAATTATAACCTGGGTTTTTTCATTTCTCATTTCTCATAGAGGTGATTAGATACTTAAAACGCCATAAGCTTAGAATGTAACCACACTTTACATTTTTACATTTCACTTTATGTTATTACAGAAAAATTTGGTGCCATTTGTAAGTATTTATAATGCACATGAAGTTTGATCCAACACTTCTAATTTCTAAGAATCTGTAGACTTTCACTAGTGCATAAATTTGCTTGCTGATACAGAGGTTCATTGCAGTTTTATCTAAGAAAGCAAAACAAAATGCAGGTGCCGTAACTATTTAACCAAAGGAAGTGTGTTTAAATACGTTAGTGTATTCTTACAATGGATTGTACTGCAGGCATTAAAAGAATGGACAGAGGGATCTAAATATACAAATATAATGTATATTTGTAATACATTGTTAAGTAATATAAGCAAGTCATAGGAACAGTTTGTATATACAATTATTTTTTTTATAAGATGGATATGCACATTGTTTTCAAGAATTCTCAGATATTTTTAAAGTTTTAGCTTTGTTTCTAATTCAAATTGAGTGATAACAATCAGTGGTTTTTAAATGAAAAAAACTGTAAAGTAAGCAAAAGTAAAATATTTCTTAATATAACCCTCTACTGCTCTATCTAATGTCACATTTACAGACAAAAAAGAAGGTTTATCATTAGCAAGGAGCTATTTGTCTCTAAGAAAATGATTATTGCATATATATTTACTTGATTTAATTAATTCATAGATTAATTTTCTTTCAGGTTCGATCTGGGGCCAATGTTCTAATTTGTGGTCCAAATGGCTGTGGAAAGAGTTCACTCTTTCGTGTTCTTGGTGAAGTATGTAGAAATTGGCCTCCAAATTTTCAGCCTTATTTTGCAATACTGTCTACTATGTTGTGAATTTCATGACTGACATCTTTCCTCTCTCCTTTTATAGTTATGGCCTCTTTTTGGAGGACGTCTAACTAAGCCAGAGAGAGGAAAGTTATTTTATGTTCCTCAGGTATGATCTTGAGTTGTTTTGTAATGTTTAAGATCTTTTTATTTATGTTTTAAAAACTTACCTTCTAATGTTGCTATACTACTGTCAGAGACCTTATATGACTCTTGGAACGCTTCGAGACCAAGTGATATATCCAGATGGAAGAGAAGATCAGAAAAAGAAGGGGATATCTGATCTTGTAAGGACTATTCATAATCTAGACCCATTGAAAATGCTCCCTTTCACATTTTTTTTTTTTTTGAGTCAGTTAAGTATTCAGATTCCGGGTAGTTTGTCCCACCCTTTGAAGCCTTCCTGAGCCCTTAATTATGACTTTCTAAGTTGAGGTGAGGTGATAACCAGTTTGCTTAAGTGTGATCCTCACATGTACAGCTGTCTTTACATTATCACTTATTTTTCTAATTGCCCTCATCCTTTGATTATGCACAATAGTATTAATCTCTCTAAGCAGCTAAACATGTTTTGTCAAGATTGATATAGATAGGCATTGAAAAGTTCAGAACTACTTTTATGCCACATTTTTTTTCCTGAAGAGTAYCTTTTTAAATGGCATTGGCAATCGAATTATAGAGATACTAATTTAAATAAAACAATATAAAGAATATTGGTTTATCATAAGCTTGACTTTGTCTTTAATCATTTGCCAAAAGGTACTGAAGGAGTACCTGGACAATGTACAGTTGGGTCATATCCTTGAACGGGAAGGAGGCTGGGACAGCATTCAGGATTGGATGGATGTGCTTAGTGGAGGAGAAAAACAGAGAATGGCAGTAAGTATACTCTGAAGACTTATACAAAGTGCAATTGCTTGCTTGAAAGTTGTTCTAGAGTTCAGCATTTTGATTAATTAAGACAGTTTTATTGTCTTCTTTAGCATTTATTACAATAAAGATTAGTTTAAATGGTAAATTTAGAAATTTTTAACTTGCATGTAAATTTGGAATTCTGAAAAATTGATTAATAATATTCTGAAAGGAAAAGCTGCAGATCCAGTGGTATACTATAATGTATTTTTCTCAAAGTTGGGGGAAACTAGTGCATTGGCCTGGGATATATGATAAATCTGATTGGGTTATAAGATCTCTTTCTGTATCTTTGCCCCACAGATGCCTGTTTTGTCTTATTTATGCTATTCTCCCTGAAATAGCTGAAAGTACTAAAAATCATCAGCTCAATTTTATTATCATTTTATTCTCTGCTCTTGCTTTTCCCTTCACTAKTATATGTATCTTTACTTACTGCTTAAAGTTGTTTTGAAGTTTTAAATTTTCCTAATATAAGGAAACATGTAGAAGGGACTATTTTAATTTTTACAACAAAACTTATCCCAAAACAAAAATATGGCCTAAACATATGTGTTAACAACGATACTTTGGATACCCTGTTAAGAGGGATAACTTCTAAAGGGTCATCTTCTATCTATGCATTCCATAGTTTGAAGAGAGTGAGGATTTTCTTTCCTCAGTGTTAGCCTTATGGAAATTAGGGAAAACTATGGTTAAGGAAAAAAAGCAAAAGAAATGGTTTATGGTAGAATTTCTTACCTGTTATCTTTAGGTTATAGTCTACCTTTAGTTACCTAATTTTCCTAATATTGTTATTTGCCTGGCTAGTACATGAGATTAGTCAAGAGAGAAGAATGAATCCTAAACACAAGAGAAAAGAGATATATGCTGTATTCCAAATGGAAATTGGGCTGGAGGAGAGAGAGTTTGAAATAATTGGGCATTTCTAGAAGCCAGTTTAGAAGATGACTATCGAAACAACTGCAAATTGAGAACAAATTTAAATTTGTATATTATAACTTCAAAAAAAATGAAAGGAGGAAGTTCATGGACACAGTGGAAACTCAGAAAAAATTACAAATGTGCCTAACTGAGAAATTCTGTGTGTGTGGTATAAAGGTACATTTGGGGTAGTATTTTGTGAAGGTGAGAAATTCAAGGGTGTGAGAGAGGGGTGAGAGGATATCTGGGGAAAGCAAGCGATAGAAAGTGCAGGGAGAACCCTTAAAACCAGGCATTTATTACAATAAATAGTTGTTTGGGAACAACTATTACAGATATAAGCTCATCCAGTGGTACAGTGTGACCAGAGTATGGCCAAGCCCCAAGCAGGGTGTGATCTGTATAGGCCAGTGTTTGGAGAGTTGAAGGTGAAGTTTAAAAGAGGGTTTGTTGTTTTGTTTCAGAGGGGCAGAAAGAGAAGGCTAACACAACAAGTATTAACATTGGTGAAGTGAGGTAAAGAGTATATGTGTGTTGATTTTACTGTTCTTTAGTTGTCTTGGTAGGACTGAAAAATTGTCAAAGTAAAAAGTTTCGGGGAGGGCTGGGATTGTGGCTCAGTGGTAGAGCACTCGTCTAGTTCGGGCAGAACCGGGGTTCGATCCTCAGCACCACATAAAATAAAGATATTGTGTCCACCTAAAGCTAAAAAAAAAAGTTAGGAGGAAAGAAGGCATAATGTTTAAGAACCACCTACAACCATCTCTAAGAGTGAAGGTTGGTGTAAAACAAATGAACCAAAAAAAACTTGGGTAGGAAGGTCCGAATTTGAATTTGGGACAAGAGAGGGAATGGAGTGATGTTTAACACAGGGAGGTCCAGTGAGCATAGTGTACATGTAGGGGAAAAGATGACTAATTCATTATTTCAGCAGTGAAGCAAGCCTCTGTTGATCAGAGATTTAAGACATCCGAACTTATGATATCAGCTGAAACAATCCTGGCTAATGATGGCTGGGCCCAAATGGGTGCAGTGAAAAGGAGAAAATCTGTTCTGTGCAAGGCACTGCTAAGTCCTGCCCTTATAATCTATCAGGAGTTCCATATTATCAACTGACTAGGCAGCCTTCAATTATAGCTAAGAAGAAAGTTCACTGGGATAATGAAGAGGGAAGATTGGTTTCAAATGGCTGTTCCTATCTCCCAGCATCCCTTTGAGGTGAGGTACAGTCCCGAGTAAAGTCTTGGAGAACTTAAGCAGCTTTCTAATGTCTCACTGTTAAAGGCAGAACTGAGATTCAACTGAGATGGGTCTAACACCAGAGCTCTTGCTCTTAATCCCAGTACGTTATGTATCTCTTGCTGTGCAGGTGGGCTGCCTTACCAGTTCTCTTCTCATTGTTCCTAGAAATCTCAAAAGTGACATTTCCTTTTCATTGCACCCATTTAGGCCACCCATCATTACCCAGGATTGTTTCAGCTGATATCATTAGTTGGGTTGTCTAATAGAAAAAATTATCTTTTCTATTCCTCTATTCTTGCTATCCCTAGTTAGTAATTTTTCAATATTTAATTATGAAAAAGTTCTTATGGTAGAAAAGTGGGAATATTGATAAAAGTATGAAAGGAATTAAACCCTCATATCAGAGATATCAAAATTTTTAGTGTTTTAAAAATTCATTTTAATAATTATTTTTATTTTGCCTTAAATTGATGACTGTCCCTCTTCTTCAGACTCACTGAGCTCTCCAGAATATTTTCCTTTTCTATGTTATTTGGTCCTCTTCTGACTCTGCCTTCTTCCCTGTCTAATACAAGGACATAGTCCTGAGCCTGATGCATAGGAGATGCTCCAGAGACATTCTTAAAGAGATGAACAGGTGATTTTGCCCCTTAACTTTCTTTCCTACTCCTTTTTCTTCTAAACGCCAAACCAAGAAAAGTTGTTTGCCTGAGTGTTTCTCTACCAGGCTTCTGAGCATGGCTGAAGAAATTGAGATGATGATGTATGGATTGGTGCCACCACATTTTTATGGTTTCCAGTTCATAGGCGTTCACAGCGTGGCTTGGCAATCATTTTACTTATTTTTACTCATCTCTCATTTTTTGTGATAATCATTTAGGAACTTCCTATCCTGAGTTTTCTACCCCATTGTTTACTCTACCACTCTAAAGGAAAGGAAAAAGAGAGGCTATTATTTCAGTTAAACAATAGCTAATTTTTGGTTGCTTAATAGGTGATAGACACTGTGCCAAGTACATTACACAAGTTATCTTATTTAATCCTTACAACAGTTCTGTGAGACAAGAACTGTGAATGCCTCAATTTACAGAGGAATTGAACTTAAGTAAAGTTATGTAGCTTGCCAAACAGACATAGCTAGTGAATGTTAAAATGGATAGAGGGGGTGGGCTTATTAAACTCAAGCAGCAATATGACTTGATAGCTTTCTTGTGTTGTGGAATCAAGTAGCTGACAGCATAATGGAAGAGAGAGGGGCACACATACCTGAGAAAATTTCCATGTGAGCATGGGTAGTGAAGGTGGGGGCAGAGAAGAGGACATTTGTGGGATGCCTTCCGATAACCATGTCTTCTGATTGACTTTGCACTGATCTGCTCTGCCCTGTTTCTGCTGTCCATGGCAGATATGCCATCCATCTTGGGAAAGGATAAATGTCTTCATCTGATTTTATGGGCCTTCTGTTCTGACTTGATCACACCCCTTGCCTTCAGTTTTGTACCCTTCCAGCCTCCATTTAAATTTAATCTCTTTCTTTCAGAAAGATATTTTTAGGTCTCTCTCTCTCTCTCTCTCTCTCTTTTAATCTAAAAATCAATCTTTGTCTTGACTAAGGTTCCCTGTGTCAGTACATTTCATTTTCTGCAGAGCTGAACTTCTTGATAATGTGTACTTGATGCTTCCTCGTCCTCACCTCATACAAATACAAACCCCAAGAAAGCTGTTTATTTGCTTTAGTCATTCATTTTTCAGATATTTGAATGTTGTCCCTATGTAAATGTTGGGTATATAGTAGTGGTTAAATCATAGACTCTACTATAGTGAATCTTAGTCTTAGAGAGGAGTAAAATGATTGCCAATCTTAGGTGAGTAGACAAAGACAAACTTCCAATTCATCACATACAAAGGGACCCACTTGGATTGAAATGCAGGGATTAGGGTTGGTTTGTCTGAGAAGGTAACATTAGGCAGAAATTTGAAAGTTGTAAGGAGCAGGCAATTGAGACATAGGGGGAAAATGACATGTGCTAAACCTATAAGACCTCAGAGACCTTATTCCTAGCAGTTGGGAAGAGACAATATGGCCAGAATGTTGAGGTTAGATCATGGGCAGGAGTAAGATTGTGTAGGGCCTTTGGAGGCCTCATGAGGAGTTTGAATTTTACTCAGAGTTAAATGGGAAGTTTTTGAAGGCTTTTAAGCCAGAGTGAAGTTCTGATTTACATTTCTGACAGATTCTCTCTAATTTTAAAGAGAATGGATTAGAGAGGGGAAAAGAAGTAGGAGATTCTTTGTGGTCATCCAGGCAGGAGATGCATGTGTTCTACACCAAGGACAGACTCTGGAGATGAGCAACAGTGAACCTTAAACTCTGCAGAACTCACTGGACTAGACTATAGGTGTTCAAGGCATAGGTGGGAGGAAGAGGAGAAGGAAAGGATCAAGACTTCTGCTCTCTAGCTTGAGTGACTTTTTGTTAGTGCCATTTTCTGAAATGTTAAATATGAGGGGAGGAGTGAATTTTAGAGGGATAAATCTAGAAAATGCCTTCGAGTTTTAAACTTTAAAAGATTAGAGTCCTTTGAGATATCTAAGTGAAAAGTCAAATTGGAATTTATATATTAATCTGGAAATTAGAAAAGTATGGGGAAGGTATATATTGGGAGATTTCAGAATATGAATACTACTTGAAATTGTAAGATTGAATGAGATCACTCAGAAAGTTTATAGCATAGGAAAAAGAGAAGGGAAATCAGGAATTAGCCTGAGGAGCACCCACATTTAAAGGTCAAGTAGAAGACAAAGTTCTGGAAAGAAAACTTGAGAAAACAGCCTAGGAGGCACGAGGATGCCCATTGGTTTCACTGTCACTTTCTAAAGAAGGGAGTAGTCATCTGGGCACAGTGTTGCTGAGAAGAGAAATTGGGTAGGGATAGGAAGGTGTTTATTGGTTTTGCAACATGGAAATCGTTGTTGGGGTCAGATGACAAATTAAAATATCTGTGGACAAAGGATCATCATTAACAGTTTTCATAAAATAAAATAAATGTGAGAAAGTGTTCAGTATTCCTGATAATCTAAAAAATATAGGGTATTACAGTCCTGATGTTATTTTTCATTTATAAAATTATCAAAGGCTTTAAAAAATGAACATACCCAGTATTGACAACAGAGACATAAAATGGGCACACTAAAAACTGTTGGTGCCTATGCAGTGGCATATGCTTATAATCCCAGTGGTTTGGGAGGCTGAGGCAGGAGGATCACAAGTTCAAAGCCAGCCTCAACAATTTAGTGAGGCCCTAAGCAACTTAGACCCTGTCTCAAAATAAAGGGCTGAGGATGGGGATGTGGCCCAGTTGTTAAGTGCCCCTGAGTTCAGTTCCCTGGTACCAAAAAAAAAAAAAAAAGGGTGGAAATAGCAATTTGTATCATTATTTAAACAACCAACCAAATGTTTAAAAAAGAGATTTTTTTTTTTTTTGCTCTAAGTCAACTACTGTCTAAATTCTAAGATTTGGTTAAGGTATACTGCCCTCTAATCTTGTTTGCTTAATGAACTTTATTTCACTCTTAGCAATAAATTATTCCCCATGTACTATATTTCCTCCTTTAAGATGACATTAAAAACAGTTAGCTTTATTTGTATTGTTTCTATTTCTGGGAAGTAGAATTTTTGAGTTAGAATAATTTTCTTACTTTATAGGAATCCAAAATGCATATTTAATTAAAACAAATTTACCTTATCAGTTTTAGGTTTGCATGTGTTTACACAAATTATTTCCTTTTTTGTGCTTCAGATGGCAAGATTATTTTATCATAAACCCCAGTTTGCCATTTTGGATGAATGCACAAGTGCAGTCAGTGTGGATGTGGAAGGCTACATTTACAGTCATTGTCGGAAGGTGAGTGTCACAGGTTCTTGGAGGGTCTATGTCCCCTTCACATTTGCTATGTCCAGCCAAATATGTATCCAAAGAGAAGAATCCAAGTTAGTAAGTAACAGAATTGCTATCAAAAGATGATGTCTTGCTTAAAGAATTTTAAACAAATGTTTGAATCTGTTTCCCCTTTACCTGATTACTTACACTAAGAGTTAACAAACTGATCATTTCTTAGATTGTTCAGTTAACTTCACCTGAACATGATTTAGTTTTTATCAGGAAAGATCAATAGTAATCGTTTGGCAGTTTTTAATGTATCCATTTTATTCTTTGTCCTGGGAAATATTTTTCCAAACTTCTAGTGAACAGATCTGAGTCTTGTTTACACTGCCATTCGTGAATAATTACCACCATCTGTTAGATTTTTGAGAACAAGAATAACATTTCCTRTTTTATAGTTTCTTTGTAAATTAATGAGGTACAAGAGTATTTTAACATCTTATTCATGTTCTTTAAGAGTTTATAGTAGGGGCTGGGATTGTGGYTCAGCGGTGGAATGCTTGCCTAGCACAGGCGGGACCCGGGTTCGATCCTCAGCACCACATAAAAAAATAAAATAAAAGGCATTGTGTTGTGTCCATCTACACCTAAAAAAATAAATATTAAAAAAAGAGCGTTTATAGTAAATAAAAAAGGTTATGTTGCRCATATATATATATATATATATGTATATACGCACAGACATGCAAATACTTGATACGTGTGTATATGTGTGTGTTTGTGTCTGTGTATAAATATATAAAATAAATACATATATAATGAATTCCTACTAATCAAACTGTGGTCACAGATCAGCAACATCAGCATTGTTTAGGTGTTTGTTAGAAATGAAGAATCTCATTTTGTTACTACATAGTAACAAAATCCCCAGGTGATTCAAATGCACATGAAAGTTTGAGAAGCATTAGTGTAATGATGAAAAAATGAATTTGCTATATATTCCTCTTTTTAGGAAGATTTTAATTACTGATTTCATTTTTTTTAATGCTTTATTTTTTATTCTTGAATCAGTTTTAGTAACGTAATTTTTATGCAGTTCTTCACATTCCTTTTCAGTTTTTGTAGGTATTAGAGGTATTTGTGGTATTCTCTTATATATAAAACCATATAGTCTGTATTTGTTCATATGATGTGGAGACTTTTCACTAGTAATTTTGACCATGTGGTTCCTGTTATGTTTTAGTTATAGACTGTCTCTACATAAAATTGTATGAATTCTTTAAAACACAAATTCTATTTAAAAGAAAAAAAGTTTATATGCAGCTTCAATGATTGTTTACATTTATAACATTTAAACATGAATAGACAGAAAATGAGGTGTGATCTCCTTAAGCTTAGAGCTCTTTTACAGCTACATTACCAATACAAATTCACCAATTGAATTTAGACAAAACTTAAGCACAATTTAGAATTTGTGCCATTTTGCTGAGAGTAAGCCACTGGTATGGAACTTAATTATGGAAAGATAAAATCTGAAGTTTTCAGATCTTTTAGGCTCAATTTTGCTATTATATTTTGGCTTAAGTTATTCTCATGTAAAGAATGCCTACATTAAGTAGAAATCTAATTCAGTTATTGTAGAAACATGAACAAATATAATCACTGAAACGAATTTTAAAAATCAGATTAGTATACATTTGAAATACACATTTTTAATACTGTTAATAAACTTATTTTATCATGCAATTCATAACCATTATTCACAAGACACCCAGATTTGTGGCATATTATAAGTTTTAAGTGGAACCACTTTGTGCCAGCAGAAGTGTAAGTACAAATTTGGGCACTGAACTCTCATGGTAGAAATGATCTAGAATAAACTTAGACTAATTTTTAAAAATTATCAAAATGAAAGTAAAAGTTAGAAATCATGGGACATATGCTTGAAACCCATATACATGTATCTGTCAGCTTTGAAAGGTCTCTTGAAAAACAGTGACATAGAGCAGAGTTTCTCATCCTCAGCCCTGTTGGCATGTTGGCTGGATAATTCTAAGGGCTCTTCTGTGTATTGCCATGTGTGGCAGCATCTCTGACTTCTACCCATTAGATGGCAGTAGTGCTCTCAGTTGTGACAACTAAGTATGTCTCCAACATTGTCAAATGTCACTGGAGGGACAAAAATCACTCATTAGTTGAAAACCACTGATTCAGAGCAGCTACAGTTGTATCTATTAGTGTTTTCTTGAAAATTTGAAGTGCAAAACTATAAATCCTTATTTTCAGTCTGAAATTCAGAAAGCTCTTAAAACTAGAACATTTCTCATTAGTTTTGTAATAGCTCATTAGGTAATAAAACCTGGTCTAACAAAAAATACTTAAACTCTTGTTTCACTTAATGTCAGTGTTCATATATATTTCTACAGAAACATTCATGTGTAATTATAGAATTCTGCCTCAGAACCTTCCTGAGGAGGGGTGCTAAATAATAGATTTCCAAAATCTGAATTCCAAGACACATTGTAAAATAAGAGTTTTGATAGGAGATTATTACCTTGCACTTGAGAAGCAAGTTGACTACAGACATTGCTGTGGTGACTTAATTTTTCTTGATTTTTGACCTTTTGTTATTTTTATTATTGTCAGATTATCTTTTCACATATTTTCATGATAAATAGAAAATGTGCTAGGAGATATTATTCAGCCTAAAACAATATAATGCACTTAATGCCAGTTTAGTTTTTTTTGAGTGATTGATGACCATTGCTTTCTATTACCAGAAAACATTTAGCATCCTTGTAAATTTTTCTTATTGACATTGATTTTTACTATAGCCATGGAAGGTAGTTATCTTAAAAGCTTAAATATGTGTTACTAGTTTAGTTTTTGACTTGTTAATATAAACTTCAGTCATTTTCATTTCACTAGGTTGGCATTACGCTCTTCACTGTGTCACACAGAAAATCTCTTTGGAAACACCATGAGGTTTGTATTTCTTTCATTGTATGGTGGGACAGTGAAAGCTTACTTTATTTAAATATGTGAGTTGGAATGAGTATAGTTTTAGATTTTATGGTATATATTCTCTAAATAATATGCACCTTAAGGAAAAAAGGTGGTTTTATTTCAGTTTTATAAAAACAATAGGACTTTCTTAGACATTATTGTAGTTGTCAGTTTTGAAAGCTACAAGGTRTATAAACAGTCTTAGTTATATGTGACAGACACTGGTTCTCTTATATTAAAACCAGYAATATTTGCAAAATACTGTCACAAATATAGTTAAGTTTTTCTTATCATCCAATATTGACATGGGGAAAAATCTTAAGAAAAATTAAATGGCAAAAAATTTAGAGAATTTTTAGTAGAGGACTAATAGGGGGAAATTAAATATTTCTTGCTTTCATTCCTAAATAATGAACAAACTTTGATTGAAAGAAGATTGGAGAAAAATTGGAACAATGGTAAAGGTATTCTGTCCTAGGGATATTGCCTGATTAAGTGCCATTTGTTGCCAGGCTCAGGGCTGAGTGTCATGAGGGATGCAAATTACTGTTTTTACCTTTAGGAACCATATGGCTTAGGGCTGGCACATGCCCGGTGGTAGACTGCTTGCCTGGCATGCACAAGGCTCTGGAGTCAATCTCAGCACCACAAAAAGAAAAGGTTGAGATGATAATATAAAGTGACCTATATGAAATAATAAAATGCAGTGCACTTCTACATAGCTGTATGGATTCTAGTTTTTGTTATCTTAAGAAATATTACAATTTGTCCATTTTCCGTAATTGAATGAGAAATTGAGTAACTAGAAATCAAAGTTTAAAATATATCAAAGCCTTTGTGTTTTCTTCAAAATTATAGCCATAGGACATGGACACATCTTATATTTTACCTTTCCTCCTCTTTTGAAGGTATAAGCAAATAACAAAACAACTATCAGGCCAGTGATCATGTGAAGAGGGAAACACAAAGAGTTGGAATATAAAGGCCAGAATAACTAAAACATAGCAATGCAAAAAATGGAAAACGAAAAACTTTTTATAAATAAGAAGTATGTAAATAAAAAATTACTAAGTAACAACAAAGCTTTGTAATTGCTGTCCTGTCTTCACGGTAGGTTATTTAGACATTATATAGCCCTTTTTAAGTAAAAACAACAAGCGAAAAACATTAGAGATTCTTGCAAATTAAAAAAAAAAAAAAAAACCCAAGCAAGCAAAAAAACCCATAAAGTTATTCTGAGCTGATCTAAGAAATCAGGTAAAAAAAGAAGACAGCCCTACTGAGCAGTCAGGGAGTGGTACAGGTCAGTCTACTGGTAGCTCCAGATCCTTGGTGCTTGAAGTATGGAAACATTCTAATTTGCGGGATGCATGTGGATTTGGTTACCTAAAAAGAATGTGAAAGCCTATATTTTATTCTTATAAAGAAAAGCACTATGTATTTTCTTAGTTACTGATTTTTCCCTTCTTTCCCATAGTACTACCTACATATGGATGGCAGAGGCAATTATGAATTCAAACAGATCACAGAAGATACAGTTGAGTTTGGCTCTTAGAGAAATCCGGAGTAACTGTACCTGCTTCAATGAAATCAAATAATTACAGAATACTCTTAGAAATACAAAGTGCATTGTAAAATAAAGTTGAGCTTGTTTTTTTTTTTTTWWAAAAAAAAAAACAAAACAACGAATTAACTAGGTAAAGTGTAATTGAGGACATATTAAAACATTTAATATTATATAGGATATTGCTAATTGTGTATATGTTGGTTTAATTATTAATATGTACTAAGAATGTCCTTATTCTTGTGGTTAAAAACCTGCCTAAATTAAATTGGGCTTAAATCAGTGTAATCTGATTCATCCTGGGATGTAAACCATTTGAAGTCAGCTAATCTGACTTTTATGGCTCTGTCTTTTCCTTCAATGAAGAGCCCTGTTTAAAACTGGGGTCATCTCTTGTCCAGTTGAAAGGAAGTAGTCTTGAGTTTCATTTTCTTGTGCCCCATGGTAATGGGAACCAAACGAATCACAGTATATTCTTAAAATGTATGACATCTCTTTGCTTAATGGCATTTATCACACAGTGGCAGATTTCTTTTGCTGCCAATTATACTCATTCCTTATATATGCCTTGGGGTGCATTTGACCCCAAGAGAGCCATTTGGACTTTCTTAAGCTAAATAATAAATGTGCCCTTCTCAATCTGCAGGATTGAGTTGTTTTGAGGGTTCTTTGTGGTGATGTAATGAAAGTGTATGTATAGTCTTGCCTAGAAGGGATGGTTACTACATGTCACACACTAATGACATGTCACATGTCATTAGTCTTCCCAATGTTTGGGATATTAAAATGCAAAGTTCTTACATGTCAAGCTCAAGGTCTTATAAGCAGTTTAGATCTTGAAGAAAATTGGACAGATTTGTGTGTTAGGAGCCTACTCTTTAGAAGCGTGGTGGTCATATGGCCTTAGACTCCAGGTGAGCCATAGGAATGCACCACGTAAAGCAATGCACTGAGTATGCAGGGCCATCACAGTCTCTGACCGTGATTTTATTTTGAAGAATATGTTAAAAATTATCACGCACATGGGTGAATTATGTTTCCTAGGTACTGGTTTATCTCTGAATCTTGAATAACTTTTTCACATTTGGGTTATTATATTAAAACTATCCTAAATGAGTTTCAGTTCACCAAACCAACATTAATGATTACATGTATTATTTGCACAAGGAGAACTGAATCTGAGTATAATAAGCTAGACATGAATCRGGTTTATCAATGTGGGTTTGGAAAGGGGCATTTTATAATCTTGTTTCTGCAACTGGTTTTATTTTTTGCAAAATTAACTAAAATCACTGACTACCGAAGTAAACTTGATGTACTGATTACATAATACATAACATTCAGTTTTTACCACTTCTCTTTAGCAAACTTGTATACTTATTTTCTGTTCAGATTAAAAAAAAAATCAGATACCCTATACAACCTTTGCTTGTTTTTTGTTTGTTTGTTTATTTTTTTTATTCTGGTATCTAAATATTGGTGGTTCATGCATAGTTCATATAGTCTTGACTTGAAAAAAACAAAAATAAATTAACATTCAGAAAGTATCTTCAAGCACATGTTTCTTTTTACAGTTTTGTTGAATTTGGTTTGTATGTGCRTTCGTTTCTTTTTTAGAAAATCCTAATAAAATTTTCAGTGTACTTCACAAATGCTACTAAATACCTAAGAGACCTTGGCGCCCTAGGAAAGATTTTAAGACCCAGAAAGTGCAGATTTTCAGATTTCTGGGCTGCCTTAAATCTGCTAATGGATGTGTCCTCCTGGATGTCTCCTGATTCCTTCTGTGATGGATTCTTGCCATCAAAAGGGAGGGGGGGTCTTCTTTTTTCAATTTAACAAATATAGTGCCTCATCATTCAAGGTATAGAGGAAGAGCCTTCTGGAGAATCAGTGTACATTAACAAGATGAGGTTCTCTGAAGGTCTAAGATGAAGAAAACCATTGTTTCCAAAACATGATTGCACAGTGTAACATCTTTCTCTACATAATTCCTAGGACCATCTTCTACACACTACATTGAGAAATAGCAATTTAATCTAAAGAATAAAAAATAAGAACTTTAGTCCATGAGAAGCATTCTGCAAACTAAGTATGTCACTTTGTATGCTAACATCCTACCTTTTTTTTTTTTTTTTTTTTTTTTTTTTGGTACTGGGGATTGAACCCAGTGGCACTTAACCATGAGCCACATCCTCAGCCCTTTTTATTTAGAGACAGGGTCTCACTGAGTTGCTCAGGGCTTCACTAAGTTGCTGAGGCTAGCTTTGGACTCCTGATCCTCCTGCCTCAGCCTCCTGAGAGGCTGGGATTACAGCCATGCACCACCATGCCAGGCCCTCTACTTTTTTATATAGTGAGAATATGTATGTAAATAACCATGGTGGTTTGCTATACATTGATAAAATAAAATATGTCCAAGGTTTGTCTCTTTCCCTCTCTTCTAGAGATTAACATTTGCCTTACACAACTGTGACAATCTTATAGCAACCGTCATTTCCACGTGTAATTTTTTAACTTTGAAATTTGGTATTTAAAACCATAGTTTGTGCCTAAAAGCAGAGTGTATTTTCTTCTGTCAGATAGACTTTAGCATTGTTGATTTTAGGAAGCCGTTTACTTTTAAAAAAAACCTACATTAGTAATTTTTCCTTTGTGAAGGATTGAAATGTTCTTTTTCTATACATATCATRAGCTTGTCATTTTTATTTTTTATTTTATTTTTTTTAGCTTGTCACTTTTAAAAGAAATCTAGTACTAAAAACCTGAGAAGCAATTACTTATACCCACTAAGAGCAACTATTTTTAATTCTTAATTGGGGGTAATTCTTAATTTTTTAACAGTATGCCCGTAGCTATTGATTGATTTATTAATTTTAAACATTTCCTACCACCCATGTTTCTTCTACATTCTCCCTTTTGAATTAAATCATTTTAAAAGTTTGTAAACATTTTATTGCAGTACATATGCCAAAAAATTCATAAATTTGAGCTCAGTGAATTCTTAAGAAAATGTACTTTTTGAGAAGGTAAGGTATAAATAACCACCCCTCCAGCTCCCTTTATGTCTTTCCAATTCTTAGCCCTCAACTTCTATCACATAAACTAGTTTTGCCTGGTTTTGTATTTGATGTATATTAGATAGCCTTTTTTGTTCTTTCAGTGTAGTGAGACTGAGCCATTGTGACAGTAGTTCCTTTGTTTATTGCTGTATAGTATTTAAACACATGAATAGGCCCTTACTTTTCATTCAGCCATTACCATTTTTGGTTTGGAGCTATTAAGAACAGTCTTTGTAAACATTTTAAATGTCTGGGCACATGGATCATTTTTGGAATGGGATATGCTCATCTTTGTAGTATACTGCTCAAGTTGTTCTTTTATACTCCATGAGAAGTGTAGAAGAACTCCAGTTTTCCCAGCCCTTGCTAATTCCTTGATATTGTCAGTGTTTTGTTTAGACTTATGTGTCTTTAGTCACCAGGTTAATCATTGTGGATTCATTTTGTATTTTCCCAATGACTATTGAAATTGAACTCATTTCATGTTTATTAGCTGTCTAGATATCATCTTCTTTGAWGTACCTGTTTAGTCTTTGGGCCCTCTTTCTAGAATGTCCTATTGATTCAGAGGTTTTGTATAAATTCTGAGTATGAGTCCTTTATTAGTATTTAAATGTTGTATCAAAGTAGACTGATTGTAAGACAATGAGCATTTGTAGAAATAAAGATTTTTTAATGACAAAAGGATCAAACAGTAATTAGTAACAATTCTCAATTTGTATGTACTTAATAATGTAGGCTCAAAACACATAAAACTGATAGGATTAAGGAAAAATACATAAATCCACTGTTTTTGAGGAAGAGTAATGCCTTGTGGCAGCTGACAGAATAACTGAACCAAAATTAAGCCCCTATACATAAATAAACATAACCTACCTGACCGGACAGACATACATACCCAGCAAATGCAGAATTCATCCGACCCTGAACAGGATAGGTCCTTTCATTTATTTAAGACTTCTGGAATATTTTGTAGTTTTGTGTCTTTAATTTGCTTTATTTCTAAACATTTGAGGTTTGTTGATTTCAGTATCCGTGGGATCTGTTTAACATCTCATTTTCTAATTGTTGCTGTAATATAAAAATGCAGTTAATTTTTTTATATTGGTCTTTGGAACAGATTGTTTCCTCCTCCACCTCTTCCTCTTTCTTCCCCTCTTCCCCCCTTGGTCCTGGGGATTGAACCCAAGGGTACTTTACTACTGAGCACATCCCCAGCCCATCATATTTTTATTTTGAGACAGGGTCTTACTAAGTTTCTTAGTGCCTTGATAAATTACTGAGGGTGGCCTAGAACTTGTGATCCTCCTGTCTTGGYCACCTGAGCCACTGGGATTACATGTGCCACTATGCCCAGCTCACATACTCTACGGTGTGGTTGATATTCTCCATGGTGAAGATCTTTATTACCTCCCCTTGAACCTGCAGACTTTGGTAACTTCTTTTGGTAAGTTCAGGTACTCGAGAGGCAGACAGAAGATGAGATCATGAGGAGTTGGACATTCACCTAGAGGTGCGAGTCCCCTCTACCTTGGCTGCTGTCCAAACACAGGGTTGTTGCATGAGAGAGGAAATCCCTCCTAAGAGATACCTTCCAGAGCTAGTGGCTCTGTCTGTTGGAGATGTCAGAATTTGAGTTTGGCACCAGCAAGCTTTGGGATGATGGTGCTAGCCCACTGTGAAGAAGTATATATGGGGCCTCTCTGACCCACTTATAGACTATTTTTGCAGCCAATAGAATGCAGAAGTTCTCGCTAATTAGACAGTTAAATAATTTAACAATCAATTTACTTTCTGAAGAATATGTAGTATTGTTCTGTAGCACCAAGAAGAGAACAACATTCCTTTCCTACTTTTTYCCTCTAAGTCTGATTTTCATTTTCTTAAACCTTGCCTTTTCTGCAGTAATTATAACAGTAATTCTCTATCGTCTCCAGTTGTGCCATCTATTGCCTCACTGTTGTGTTGCCCTCTGGAGATGTTCTTCCAGCCCTCTGTCCTGGACTTTAGGCTGGTGGTGCTGCATGCTGAAGTGTC